TAATAGCAATAATAAGTTATATATATAACTTATTATTAACCTTCACAAACGTGGAAACGTAGTATATATGCAAGCTGAGCCAAAAGTCTTGACAGCTGAAAAGTCTGTATTTTACACCTGTTAGAGTAGCAATAATAAGTTATATATAACTTTTCAGCTGTCAAGACTTTTGGCTCAGCTTGCATATATACTACGTTTCCACGTTTGTGAAGGTGAATATAAAAATCAGTGGATATTTAGTCTTGTTACAGACAATTACAAAGGTGGCCCGGCCTTTTGCTTCCGTAAATGTCGTCGGGCACTTGTGACCCGATCACTTTCGCCGCTATACAGCATAGGCAGAGTTGGAACCCCCGTTAATATAATATGCTAGATTATAGGGTTACCATATTTTAAATGTTACTGTTCTTGCATGTATCTTTGCATAACTTTGAAGATTGGGTACTTTCTGGTCCAGGGCACCATTCTGGCTCGGGCCGCGTCTTTGGCAGTACCAGATTAAATATTAATATACGTCCCTGCTTTGAGGACAAAGTCTTTTTCGGTAATCTCAACGGTCGTACTGCGAACCTGTCCTTGACAGACAGGCTTTTGTGCGTGTTTCTCGGGTGTGTTAAATATTAATTAAATATCCCAAAATTGTTTTCAATTGAACGTCAATTTCTAAAATAAGATCTCGGTTATCGCCCGTACGACCTTCGCGAACCTTCTGAGCAGTAATGATTTTCTCCATGACTGCTCGATTCTGTATTGTGATGCCGATTAGCAGAGTCATATTCAGCGACAACAACTTCAAGATAAAACAAAAACGCGCTTCATCAAAGGATTTTTTCTGCCGGTTTCCGCTGCTCCGTTTCCAGCAACCCCGGCTGTTTGATGTCATTGTTCGATACTATTGAATAAACGTGCGTTCTAGTATGCTAAGTAAATCATACAAAACATGAGCCCCTTTTGATCTATCTAGTCCAGCGTTCTTGACTGTAGAGCTGGCCTTTTAGCGCTTTTAAAAACGGGTCGGCGAAAGCAGTGATGCGAATCCGTCTTTTATGCCGTTGACAACTTCTCGAAACGAACCGTATTACAAGGCAGAAGAATGGCTTCGCCATGCCATTCTTCTAGGGTGAGGCTCACTTGACCATCATCCACCTTGTCCAATAACAATGTCATGCTAACTTATCTGATCCCCAGACGGGTCTCCTCTTACCTTTATGAAATATTACTTTGTTAGTGCCGCTGCTGTTGGTGTTCGCCATAACAGACACACGAACCAATGCAATATCTTCCCCCGTCGCTGCCAAACGCATAGAGATTGCCAACAACTGAAACTGACTTAAGCAAAGACGCCACTGAGGGCAGTGTTGATATCAAGCAAACAAGTCTTCTAGTCGACCGCTATTTTAATATAGGTCGTCATTGCATGATTTCTCTGGATGGTTGGATGGAAGGATAGATGAATGAATGAATGAAACGAGCGAAACCCTTATTATCTCGACCAGCTTTAACGAAGGATTCGTAAAACGCATTTAGTTACTTACGTAGGTTTCCACTGGATTGTATTTACGGACAAAGTTTTTAACAATTACACTTCTAATATAGTTACAAATACAGTTTGGCAGCGTTTCGCATGGGGATCGCGAACTAGTTCTGAAGTTTGAAGAAAAGTTCTGAAGGGAAAAATTAGCTGTGGTTCGTCTCAAGTAAGGTTTTATTAAAAACTGATTTTTCTCTTTAGGTGGAGATAGGCCTTGCGCGAAGACAATTCGTTGTTATGGTACCTAATAATGATTTTTTTCCACATACAAGTAGACTAACCATTAAGGGTCAAATTAGAGAAACGATAGGTTTTAAATGCCTTCTAGAAATATATCAGGCCTAATAGACGCAAGCTGCTTATTCACGACCAGTTAACAAGTATTGGTATAGTCGAACAACTGTGGTGCTGAGGATGAAGAGTCAATCAAATAAGAAACAGTATTATCAGAGTCGTTTGGGAAAACTAGATCTGTTGACGGCTTTTTCCAGCAACTGATCGGAAAGATAAATGGCGTTTTACACAATATGCCCAAAACAAAAAAAAAAATACGAATACATGCAACACACACAAGAATGTAACACAACAAATTACTGACTCAAGCGTCTCAGTCTGTTATAACTAACACAATGGCTCTGTCAAATTTCTGGTTTGAGGGACTGCAACTTCACAGCCGACAACGAATCAGTCAAGCAGAGTCTCAGGTGAAAAGGGTTGATTCCGCGTTGTACTAATACTTTTTTGAAATCTATAATCCATTGGTTAGTTTCAGAAATTCTAACTAACTCTTACGGCAAGAGGTGATGTGACGATAAGCATTGTCGTGACCTTAATCATTTTGCTTCGGACATGAGATCGAAAAAAACGTTGCCTTCTCAGCGATATTGTTGTTATTATTATTATTAGTTCGAACAGCTTTTTCCTGCTCTGACAATGCCAACGACCTATTACAACAATGTGAAGGCACATGGCCATGTCTTGCCTAGACAAACGAATTGAGCAGTTATTTTACGCGAGCCTCACGCTAACGGAACGTCGCTGGTAGAGCAGCGGCCGTTTCAGATGGGTGGGTTACTAAAGTGCTGTAATATATTAACTCTGAAACGCAGTTAGGTAGTTGGGCTCTCAATCGCTTCTTTCGAATGCGTCACCGCGGCCCTTTTTGTTCTTGCTGTTCGACATTATTCTTGCTATTCGGGTTACAGAGTCCCGGTCAGTTGCTGGCCGGAATTCTATTGAAATATGCCTAAAAGGGTGTGACGGCTCTGGATGTACCAGTCAAGGCTTGCTGATGCTGCTGCGATTTGAGCTTCGCTACTTGGCAGTTAACACAAATACTTAACTACAATTTAAGCTATGGTGCCATGACAAAGGGTATGAAGCAGGGATTTCCAAAGGACCTGTGTAAGTGAGGTTTAAAAGGGGCTCCTTCGGATGAGTATCCGGTCATTGTTTACTTTGTTGTTTTTTTGCCAGGGATACATCTGAGATATTCTGACCCTTATTGAACTTTGCTGGTTCGTCACTCATAATCTTGATGTTAGCGTCGCACTGCGTTCCTACAAACACGCACACTATGGACAAAGCTTGCAGATTTTCACACAGGAAAATCAGATACTGAATTTAGAGGCTTGTGTCTGTATTACTCCTCAAACTTATTTTTTTAAAATAACATTTGTATTACTTATCGATTTGCACGTAAGTTACACAAACGTTAATTTATTATAAATAAAAAAATGTCATAGCTCCAAAATAAAGAAACTTGAAAACCCGGATGGATTCCTATACCATTTTCGCATATATATATATATACATATATATATATGTGTGTCCACAAGCTTAACTTAGCAAGAGGCAAGAGCAGCTGTGTACCGTTTTCATTGCAATGGCGATGTACTTAAAGATGGCGACTAACCTTTCAGGAGGAGTTTGATGTTGACAGCTTCGTCGAGCGGCTTGCACGCCAGGCCCTTGGCGGAGAAACACTCGAAACGAATAACGACATTCGTGTCCTGAGGCAAACGTTCGAGCATGCGATAGGGGAACTCACCCAAGAATTCCAATTCAGGGAGCGCACCATCAGCAGATACGAAGAGGTGGGGTTCTGTACAAAGTCACTCACTGTATTCATTTGATAAATGAATGGGTTTTCTTGTCAGTGGCGGTTAACACTATCTGTACTGATGGTTGAAAAGTGAATTCATTAAAACAGGTTCAATAGAATGAACGCATAGCTCGGTAAGATGAATGGTGAAGACAACGTCGATGGCCATTGCAGTGAAGACGATAGTATCAATACTTCCTCTGTGCGATTTATTTTCCTCAGTTTACCCTCAGTAAATCACTTCACACCACTCGTTGCACGTTATATACAATCAGCCCGTAAACTGTACGGAGATCATCGCTCGAACTTCGAAATCATGTTGTACGTGGGTTAACTTAAATGTTGTACGTATCTCGTTGCCAAAAAGAATCATCTCGTGCTAAAGGTAGTTTTCGTAATAAAGTAATGCTGCGTAATATTCAACCCTTTTTAGAGATGCTCCAAAATCGAATCAACGTTCCATAGACGAACCGAGGAACTACTGGCTCAGCAGAAGGCCACCCGTCAAAGATACAAGCACGCAAAACGTCAAGTAGACCATATCGTCGCTACGGTAGCTTTACAGTTATTGAATAGTATTATTTGTGTTCATAGAACATAACTAAGAACAAGTAAAATTAATATAGTTTTTGTCTTCTATTTGAATGCATTTAGCCCTGTAGAACGTTTAGGCTCAAATAGGGCATCCTTAAACCCACTTTGAAGTACGTATCTTTTTACGCTTTTTTTTAGACGTCGTACCTTGGTGAAATGCTTGAAGGGCACGATTATCCGCGGAGTCGGCTCCTTGAAGCTGAATCATTGGTGGCTCAATTTGAAGCCATTCTCTCCGGCGATTTGAATTCTGCTAGGAAGGATGCAAATGACGCTTCGCATAAGGGTGTTTCGGATCATGCTCACAACGTCCTCAAACTTCACTTGGCCGCAAGCGAGTTGATGTCTAGTCGTTACAACGACGCTAAACAAAAGATAGCGGATGAATACTCGAAGGTGCATAGTCTCGTAACATATTCAGGAAGCAGCTACAATAGAAGAAAGTTATATTTGGTAGACCGGTTACGGAGAAGCAGCGGCTTAGATTGGGTGCTAGTTTTTTTTTCTAACAGTTAATAAATTATTGCGTCAAACGTTCACTGGCAACGATTGGTTAGCTTAAAAGTAGAAGAAGAGCTTAAAAAGAATAGGAATATCTAAGAATTATAGGATCTGTTCTCATCTGCATGAAACCCAAATAAACGAATTGGGTAATTATAAATATGAAAAAAGTCTTAATGAATTAACCCCTTCTGAATTGTAACTGTATGGATTTTTCAGGTTGAAGCAGAGCTACTAGCCGAACTTTCCACTGCTCAACGCTATGGAGATACGGCAAAAATGAAAGAAATTGTCGGTCTCATGAGCAATTTTCGTGGCTATGGAGCCTGTGTAGATCAGTTCATTTTGAACGCCCAAAAAAAGGCATTTATCCACCCAGATGTGTTTCAGGATGTTATGCCGTTAACTCGAAAGGTAGCAAACCTCGTTCAAAAGGTCAGTCGCCATTTGAACTGCTAATTTCTGTTCTTAATACTAGTGGGTATTCAGTTCATCCACGCTAAGGCCTTAAGTATCTCCTTAACAATAACCTTAATTGTATGTTTTGGTTTTCAATTTAATATTGTTGGTGATTCACATAAAATTATTAAAGATAACCTCTAACATTATCTTTCGTTTAGGTGTTTCCTTACCCCGAATGTGTGATGGGCAAGTTTGTCTTGCATACACTGAGCGTCCGTATTGCCAATCATGTTACTGGACAAATGCAGTTGTCCAAAGATGATTTTACATCAACGACTGCTCGCCAGCTACATCTAGCCAGAATGGCCCAGCTCTACACGAAAACCCGCCGTCTGTGCGAGGAACTTCAGGAAGAGATCCCTATGGATATTGCCACAAAAAACCAACTTCGGAAAGTGCCAAAAGAGCTCTTTCAACCCTATATTCGCACGTATCAAGCGTTGGAATATAGGTACACATCGCTTCCACAGGACGCTCGTGTGTCCCAGCGGAAGTCATTAGATTCCAGCTGGCATATTTTAGGGCCTATATATATTCAATAGCATTACAACAATAACTATGCGATTAGGTTATGTCGGTTTGGGTAGACGCCACATAAAAAGCTAATGAATGTTAATCTGGGCCTTGGAACTCTTTTAGCTGTATGAGGACCCGATTGGATGAACTTATTCGTGCGTACTACCAATCGATTGGTCACTTACGAAAGTCGACTACACCATCACCTCTGCGCGACTTTCGTCGAGGAATTCAGTCGAAAATTGCCCCCATGGCGGCCACAATTATCAATGTCGCACCATCCGTTAAAGACTATGGAGGAGAAACCTTCATTTGTGAAACCTTGGCCGTCAATATGTTACAGGTAAGAATAATGCGTGCCTGTCCTACCTAGGAAGGCCGCCGAAATCGATCAGTTTCGTAAGGCTTACTAAAATGGTATCCTGTCGATTCAAACTGCTTTTCAAAGGGTTTCACTATCTAATATATCTTGTTTATTTCGTAGGAACTACGTGAGTCGTTTGAACGCACATCACTGATTCTTCGAGGATCAGATTGTGGCCGTCAGGCACTAGCCCTGTGGGAACTATTCTTGCACAAGTTCGTCCGGGAACATTTGCTCTATGGGGTCCATCTTGGCATCAAAACGATTCCTGTGTCACAAGACCACAACCAGGAGCCAAAACAGCATTTCCTACGGAGTGTTTACCAGACCAACGCTATATTCCATTTGGTGGAGAACACTTTCTACGAAGAAATCCTCCCACTTCTGTCCGGTACGGCTGAAGAAGGCAGGGCTCTTCGGGCAAAAAGGGAGTCACAATCAGCGTTAGAGGAGTCAATTAGGATCGGTTTGAAAAGATCGATTAAGTCGTACACTGCGTGGATAAGGGTACTTTTAGAGAAACAAAAGTACAACGAATTCTTAGATCATCAGACCAGTCCTACGGCCAGAAAAGTGATCATGTACACGCGAAACTGCATCACTGCATTTGACGAATCCCTTGACGGCCAAAATCAACGGCAAGTAATGTTTGAGTTTGGTCGACGTTTCCATAAAGCGCTTTTGAGCAATATCCGGCGTTTCCGTTATTCGCATAATGCCGGCCTGGGCCTTCTATGCGACATCACCGAGTACCGCACCATCATAGCCCAGCTGCAGCTACCAATCATGATCGAGGTTTTTGACACGCTGTACAAGTTGTGCAATCTACTTATTGTCCCTGCAGAAAATCTGTTGGGCATTCTTCACGGCGACGCCATGTCCCGGATAGACGCCCACGTAGCACGGGAATTTATTCAGCTTCGAGAGGATTGTCGATCGCACAAGCTGCTCGCCGTACTCTTTCCAGAAGCCGGTGGATAGTGTAAGGCCGGAGGGCGGGAGGAGCCAAGTACTAATGACCTTCAACGTTTTCAGGCTCAAGATCAAAAGCTGGATCCTCAATGCCCTCCACGCGTTCCATTTGGGAATGCTCTTAAGATTGGCATGGCGCGCTGCCAACTCGCCTGGTTTGGCTGTTCTGTATTCGGATGTTATGCTCAAACGACAGTTGTTGACTCGTTGGTGTCGCTTGATAGAACTGACATCGGCGAAAGCGTCGTGAAGAGGCGTCATCGTGGAGAAATACATTTTCGACCATGGCTTAAAATGGCAACAGATTAAGGTTATTCAGAGGCTATTGCCAATGGATAACACTGCTTAGAATAGCAGCTCGAAAAGCTAGTTTTGAACGAATTACAAAATGTAAACGCGCATCCGCTGAAATCTCTTGGAAGGAAAGTTGCGTTAAGTTAAGCAAACTCTATACTGCTAGCTAGGGCCTCGTAAGGAGCTAACGGAAGTACTGATACTGGAATAGTGTAACACAACAAAGCATACCAAAGAAATGCCTTAGTACTTAATGAGCTACACAGGCGTACACTACATTTTGTGGTTGTCTTTAAGAAGGAGAAGATCCCAAGATCCGTTTTGTTTCTCGGTTCTGGCATGATTAATGCAGCTTGTCTGTCAAAAGATAACAGTTCTGTATCCGTATCATACTTCGTCACGCACGCAAGTTTTCAATGAACGCATGCAAAGGACGGAAACGTGATGCAGAAGACAAACAAGAGCTCAAGTGCTAGCAGTCTCACTGTCCGAACTCGATGTTGTACCGAGTACTTTACATTCTAGCAACCTTTTTAGATAAGCCCAGTGGTGTTGTTGCACAAGAATTTGCCATAGTATATATATATATATATATATATATATATATGTATCTGTTACCTATATTCTATATAATACAAGACAGGCCAACAATAGCGGACTGTGATAGTAAATGTGTATAAAACAATGCAGTTATCTCTACGTGCCTCTTTGCAAATGATATCAATAAAGCAAGAGTAGTGCTTATCTAAGAAATTATGTTTATTCTTGCAAATATGTGACAATAATATACAGCACAAATCATCAGCACATAGTTGAATTGATCTCTTTGTTTGTATGGGAACTTTTGTAAAGTTAGCGTTTATATAGGCTAGAATCGTTGCGACACGCCAAACTGATAATGAATCACAATGTATGCTAACGTTAGCATCTTAACAAGATTGCCTCTCAACTGACTATATAAACGTACGCGACCTGAACATATAATCCATTACGTTTTCACCGTACGCAACCGTCGGATTGCTATTAGATTCCATAAATGTACGTAATTCATGTTGAAAGTATTCTGGTTATGGCAATGTGTGTTAACTAAGATAAGTCGTTAGCGATATCTTTCAGTTAGGTGCTCCAGCATCCTACCAAGGCCGTTGGGTTCTATACGGTCATATTGCCGGCCGTCGATGTAGTGCATCATAGAGGTGATAAACTAAAACATAGCACTCATAACACTTTACGGCAGCACGGAACATTATGAGTAACGTTCCGTGCTTTCTGGTTCGCTGGTTCGACCGACTGTTTTGAACTTATCATCGACTGGCATTCCTTTTGCTAGATTTTTAGTGCTCCGCTCTGACTACCAGTCTGCAACGTGCCCTGGGCGAGAATGAATCTCTCGCATCTAAGCCTCTAACGATTACCGCTTCAAAGAATGATAAACTAAGATAGATATATATGCATTATTCTACTACTATTAATATTGATATCTTGGTTAGTTTATCTGCTGCATCAGTTCGCATAGATTTTTTGCGTCGGCCTATTTTATAGTTTTTAATTTACCGAAGCATCATTAGCCCTAACGCATGCCTGCACGTTTGTGCAGGCGTTCTTCAGACGTCATTCAGATACTACTGTCGGATAAAAGATCGGATAAAAGAAACGTTGTGCCGCTGTAACACTTCATCCCTTTCGAGTATTTGCGCATAATGGTAGTAACAGCAAGAACGTTAATCGCTTAAACCGTCGTACAAAGCTTTTTATAAAGTCTTCTACTAACGACGGACATCTTAATTGTTTGTACCCCAAAGCACCAACATAAGAAGGTAAGATAAAAGATAGAAGAAATTAACGACAGTTTCTATTTCGCTCGTATGTCTCTGAGAGATCCAAATAAGCTTTGCCTAACCAGTTGAATCATTCAATTTCTGTCCTACAATGAAATCCAGCGTTAATTCCCTTTGTCTGATGATTTATATCAATCGCATGCCTGTCGTCCGCCTTGAAGCTAAGGAGAGGCCCGTTTAAGTAGAAATTCGGTGTATAGACGGAAAACAGCTGCTTCTATGATTCTCATGTCTTAGTAATCGCATAGTAAATGTTTCACTTATACCCTTAGGAGCTTTCAAACCCTGATTTTGGACAAGCTTCGTACTGACCAAAGCCCAGCGGGGCTAGCAGATATTGTCAGCCCAAGAGAATATTTTGTAGGAGAAAATGACACAACTACTAATATTACTTTGCCATTAAGACGAGTACATGTTATTCTCGCATAAAATCCAGTCGGGAAGAACATGCTATTAACCTAAAGGTAAACATATTTTTTGAATATTCATCTCTTAGTTGTATCATGAATCTATCTCGTTTCGTCTATTCGTCGTTTAGTAGACGTACTTCATTACAGACCCAATACTTCATTGCAGAGGTCTGTTTGTAAGGGACATATACAAAACACAGTTAGCATGTACATACGTGTATGCCGTGTTTGTTTTTCGTTCGTTATTGTCATCCTCAGTATACTGGTACGACTCGCTCGTAGGAATAACATGTACTTTTTTTATATTCTGGTTGCTTCATGATACATAACAGTGCATATTCCTTCCTCTTAAGGCATCTTGTCATCTTGTTTCAGACCCATATCGTAGCGTCTTTAAAATAGATATAGGAACTATGACACCAAAGAAGTTGATAGTGAATTGTTGTCGCACAGAAAATACCGCGCTGTCGACGTTTTCTAACAACTGCTATTTGTTACAATGCTTCCTTTTAACCTTGAAATATTACCGTACGTGTGCTTATTACAAAATGGCAATGTAGTCCATTTGACTATAGGTACTTAAGGAAGAAGAAGACACGCATCGCTTGAATAGCTAGATCACCCTGTTCGTACTTAGTATCACGTTGTCTCATACAGAAAGGCATAGTGTTAAAATAAATATTCCATGTAATTTGGTATTTTTCCGTCTAGCATCGTTTATTTCCTATCATGTATCAAACGCGCATATAAATATAGTTGAAAGGGCAAATGAGATTTGCGTTGGAACAAGCCTGTCAAGCTGATTTTGTTGACTTACGCAGTGTTCAACAGTATCTGCTTATTGCAGACTAACCGTTATGTGCGGCAAACGTTCCGTACGTGGGCAGGGCAACCTGAGAACGTAACGCAATCATCGTTCGTTACTATTGCTAATTGAAGAACCCATATTATGATTTTTTTCTTGCCAGGACACAATCTGAGCAGAGAATGTTCACTCTTACGTTAAAGGCCAATATCTGCGATAATCAAAACAGATATTATTTAAATTACATTGTCCGAAAATTATCCATAATCATTAAACTTGAAACTTAATCCTTGTTGTAGTTGGACTTGAAGAGAAAAAAGCGGTTCAATAAACGTCACAGCAAAGCGAGTGTGAATTGTACACACTTGTCTTTTTCACCAGTCATTCTTTACTATATAGCAAAATATCCAGCAGTGCTGCCAGGCGCTGCTTCTTACGCCTGGCCCCCAACTGGAAGCAAAGCATGTCCATGCTCGATCTCAAGCGCGGATTACTTCACATCGCCAGTACAACCATCCATGCAGCCCAAGTTTTCCAGTTAATATTTTCACGGGACAGAGGAACTCTTCGTGCATGAATGATCACTGTCAGCGTGTGTTGAACAATTCTTTAGGTGTGAGCTAGACTATATGGGTATGATTGCGTATGGAAGCAGTCGACTCACTAAATCCATAGATTTTGGGGGGTAAACTCGCCTGGCTCAACACATGCCAGTCAGTTGTAACTACTGAAATATGACTTCATGCATGCAAAACGAATCTGTCTAATGCTAATCTTACCTGACTATTGATCGTCTGCACCTGAGGACGTTCAGCAACAAGGAGCGGCTGTTCAACATGGGGCGGCGCAAAGGGACCATACTTCAGTGCGGCATCGAAGCCCGAGATTGCGGTGGATCCGATGTAAACATCATTGGGGTTCTTGGACTCGGTTCCGAGTTCATCTGTGGTGACGTCGGCCCTATAGCCGTTCTCATCAGCTACATATCTGACTACACGAATTCGACCATTGCCGAGATTGATTGAATATTCGCCCTCGACTCGACCTTGCTCGTCCCGCTTCTCGATGTGTCCATGCGAGCCATTCGTGTCGTCCAGCTGATAGCCATACTCATACGGCCGTAAAGATTCAGCGGTAACAGCCGAACGGTAAAGGCCTGGACGCCCTTGCCCGATCTGCTGTTGGTCAAGTCGCAGCTGATTCTGACACGCGACCGCGTTAACCAGCGCCAGAAGCAGGAGTTTCTAAAATGTTGATTTATTATTGCCACTAATTAAATTTCACTCTTCTGAATGCTGTATTTTCACAGAGGGTCATGGATAGCGCATACAATTGTAAGTCGTACGTATTCAAGAGACATAATGTAAGCTCGACAAAACCAAGGTGGCCTACCTGGATCCAGTTGAATCATTCAGTTGAAAAATCGTACATGTTCAGAGCTATTACAAGCCAAAAAGCAACAAATTGGCTTATATAAACATACATGCAGGCTACAGACTTCTTAAGGAAAGCTTAATGAATGACCTAAATGTTTAGTTTGCCTAAAAACATTTTGATCATTAGGGCGATGAACACGCAACAGCTTTAATGGCTGGTTATCTTGCAATTCGAGCTATGACCGCGAAGAGGTCAGTATTAAAAATATCAAAGTTTTAGTCTCTTCTTAGTGCAACGTAACGTATCAATCCAAGTACTATGTTTTACCTTCATGATTAAACTAGCTTGGTAGACGATTAGAGTGTCGCTAACAGCAGTTTATATACTACGGCGTCTAACTAGCACGTCTCTCCTTCTGATCAGCTAGATGCACGAAACCCTTTCTTATTGTAGCAACCCTTGTGTGCGCATCATGTCGGGACGGGTTGTCTCGAAGGACCTTGACTTCTACCTTGATTTGTCAAAGACAACGCCACGGCAGCAATGCTGATGAAGTTAAAGATAAACAAACCCCCAAGTCGACAAAACGGCAACGAGCTTGTTACCGTGGGATAGAACAGTTTGCCTAAGCGTCACCAGTTCAAGATGGAGAAGAGAGAGAGAGAAGCCAGTGGATGCTATTTAAATTTTTTCGCCACGAGCAGACGACAAGAGCGACAGCAACAGCGCCTACATCCGTTGAAGCGGGTCTCCCCAGAGGCAACGTGGCTCTCTTCGTGTTTGTAGGCACGCAGCTACCAAATAGAGACGGACGTATTTATGGCAGCTATGAAAAACAGAAGGTTGTTGCTCGGATCTAATCCAGAGCCTATTTATCTCGGTTCTCAATCGTTTAACGATAGCGTTGGCGGTCACGGCGATGACGATCCAAACGGCTTGCTATCCGAACCGCTGCTGCGTGTTTATGTGCTACGATAGATGCAAACGATGTTTAACTACAGAATCTAGGAGCGGTCCTAGAAAAGACCGACGAGTAGACGGAACGCGACGTTTCAGCGATTGATGCGACCGCTGATCAATGGCAGGAACCGCGACAAATACTATACGGATAAAAATCGATTGAGCCAGGGACGAACCTGTTTTAACCAGGCGTCATCTGGACTTGCAGAGCACGCAATGAAGATAGTTGCCCGGGTTCGAATCTACTTAATTATTAAGCATTTCACTACGCAGTAGGTTCTACGTTAGGTCTCGCATTTGGGGATCAAGGGGAAGCGGATACAGAGACGTGATCGTCGGACATATTGAAGCTAGCCTTACTGTGGACTAATGCAATCGTAAATCAGCCCATAGGGCGGTATCTCCAGACAGTTAATACTGTAGGGTCATAAATTTTAGCCCAAGTTTATGCGGTTTCGAACATGCAAATCTCTCAATAGATTGATCTAATAATACTGTCTGCAGAGACTGCATTCTGTAGCTTGTAAAATGCGCAGAGTGCCTGTGTACTCGGTTTACCCTTTTTGATGTAGCTTTTGCAAAATATGAAATATCACATATTGATGATAGGAAAATATAAAGTGCGACGTTTTTATGCATTATGTGTACCTCTGTCGATTATTGCTAAGTTGAGGCCTCTCAAAGCTAATTTTTGCTGAAGCCATACTTCATTAGACGGCCTCATTCGCTCTATTCATACCTCCTTCACCTACCTCATTCTATCAGTCAGGAGCGAATGAGGCGTAGATTATACTCAGGCATTGTTAAATCAAGAAATCGTACGGATGAATTTAGTCCGTCGCACTTGGTGGTGACGCATTACCCTGTCCATCACAATAAGCGGTATCTAATTTTATGCACTAATTGGTAAAGGAAGTCATTTTTCAACTCCTTCGTCTTATTCTAAAGACTTTTGCTTATAATATTGCTTTTTTATCAGATCAAATCTGCCTTGCCCTCTACTATCCACCTGATGTATACCAAATAATTAGAAATTTTCAGTCTTATCGACGTCACGTATTGCGTTTGGTTTTCGTTGCGGTATATGCCATCTTATTCTATAGACAACTTTTTCTCTTGGACATTCCTTCACGATAGAACTACGATGTAAGCTTTCCATTTTGCAAGTTAGGTAGCTGTTAATAGTTTTTTTTTATCGACGAATCTAGTGGTGCACTTGTTTATCCGGATACCGCGGTGACCACCCCATGTAAATTCAACTCTCAACTACCTGAAAACGTATTTAGCAAGAAAGTATTCAAGTATCAAACTGTGACCCTGGTAAACTATCCTTTTTGGCATTCGGGCTGCGCAGAAAAGAGTCACCAGCCAAATTTTCAGGTCTGACTTTAAACGTTTTACTATTTTGTACCACAGAAAAACACCTTCCTATCGATTACCGAATGCCAGATAGTTTCGTCAACATATTTGGCAAACAAATACATTTATCAAAATTGCGACTTTTTCGAAAAAAAAAAAAAAAGAATTGCTACGCAGTGCAGTCTTTCGAGGCATTGACGCTTTTGGCGAGAAAACGTTCATTAAATTGGCATGAATAGCTCAATAGTGTACGTGCCTGGATTGAAATCGATCTGGAAAATTTCTCTTCAATTTGGGTCGCGTAAATATCCCACTAAGAATAGATAGATCGGGGTCTGTTAGTCAGGTAGCGTAAACCGATTTCACCCTTCACTCCACGTTTATATCACGCGTACGCTTATGTTTTCTGTGACAGCAGCCACACCTGATAAATAGTAATGGATCTTTTATATCCTATGTTGTTTGCTAGTGAAACTACGATATGATTACCTGTTAGCTTTAATTAAGCATGCAGGCATCGAAAACGCTCCACACGTTTAGGTGGAAACTTTCAGGTAACAGCATAATCGACATTTTGAATGTCTGTATCGATCATTGTACAAATGGGCATTCGTAAGGGATTCGTGCAGGATTATAGTGCGTAATGCCACGCTAATATTTGAAACAAGTTAGCAGGCCTGTGCGCCATTCAACGATAATGGCCAAAGCCAATTGGTTTCAAAACGAAGTTATATTCGCCGCTTCATTTAACGGCAATAGTAGACAGGTTTTGGCCATTCTACTGGACTATACCCCCTAGACGAGTGTCCTATTCACGTGGGGATCTTCCTCTCGTTTTATCAGTTCAATCCTCGAGAAGCAAATTCAATAAAAACAACTGCAACAAAAGGCACACAGATTCTACATTGTAAACGAAAAAGCTCTCTGTCGATCCTCGATGGATTATGTTCACATGATCTCATAGAGAAAAGCCAATCGAAACATTGATAGATTGTAGCAATAGGGCTATACGTTACGCCGTGTTCCGCTGCTATACGATGATCATTCTATCATTGTTATTATTATGTGATTACCGTTGGCAACAATCCCGCACGACACGCCAGGACACGACCCCGTAGCATCTAGCTATCCCATAAGTTAGCGTTCCGCAGCCGCTGCCGGATGATTTCTGTATAGAATATCTGATAAATGCAGACGGTAATATATCATTTTTTATTTATTAAGAAATGATACTGTAGTCGACTGGGGTCTACTGCGTGGACTAGATGCGTGCGAGATAAAGGGAAACGCGATCGATCTAATGACATGTGGCCCTGGCAGACTAGAATTTAGCTGTTTATCATTTATTTATTAATTAATTACAGTAGCAGTATAATGCTGCTCGAAGCTCAGGGGTATAAATATATTCAAGACAAGTAATATTTCACAGTCACACGCAGCTCAACTATGCTCTTGCAGGTATCATTCAGGTAGTGTTGTTAGCTGCTGATCAACACGTGCGGAAAGATTTCGAATTTACATTTTGTAGAAACTCAAAATGACTCTCTGTAAAGTTTTAATTGAAATGGTGTTCTTCAATTGGAAGGTAGAATTAACGGGATGTGCACACATGGAGTAGTTATGGAGAACCGAATCTCATGGCTACCGAGAAACACATTGCGTACTTTAAAGGATTCAGACAGGTCGTGTCTAGCTTTTTATACGAAAGCTAAATCCCCAGTCGCCCGTGCTATTATAATTACAATACTCAACGCGATGTACTGGCTTAACTTCGGTCGTCGTTAATCAAAATACTATCTGTTCAACGAATTTATTTAGCGTTACTGTACTATGCACGTCAAGTAGAACAGTAGAGTATGCTTCACTTTGTTTCAGTCAGCTGCCGTCGTTTTCGTCTCGTCGGCCCTATTTGAGGGTTCTGTACTAGCGCAGGATCGTCCCGAGGTGCAGCCTAGAGTTCAGAGCACATCTCAGCCACGGGCAGAGCTCTACGGTGGAACCACTAACTCGCCTAGTGCAGGCAGAAGTACGGCCACTTATGGCCCTCCTCGGCCGTATGAGTACAGTTACCAATTGGATGATACAAATGGATCATACGGACACACGGAGAAACGTGACGAGGGTGGTCGCGTTGAAGGAGAGTACTCAATCAACCTCGGCGATGGCCGAGTTCGTGTTGTGAGATACGTGGCGGATGAGAACGGATATCGCGCGGACGTGTCGACGGATGAACTTGGAACTGAGTCGAAGAACCCCAACGACGTCTATATCGGGTCGACCGCTATCTCTGGAAACGACGCTGCGCTCAAGTATGGACCGTTTGCCCCACCGCATGTAGAGGAACCGGTTCTCATACCTGAGCGACCTCAGATTCGAACAATTGGTAGTCAGGTAAGCAAGACGCACATACATACATACATACGGTTACTTCTACTTAGTAAATTTACACATGAGGCCATTCATTCACTCGTCCATTTCACGGCCGCCGTCAATGCTGAATTAATGTGCAATTCTGCAATCTACTTTAATTGCGCCGCGCAGAAAAAAACTATATACGAGAACAAAGCTAGGCTGGGTTATGCATAGCCAGCCCAGCGTCTACGTATCTCTTAGGTTGTCCGATATTTTACGAAATGTTCAAGATCCATCTTACAGACTTAGGAAGCGTTTAGGTAGTTTTTGAAGCCAATAAATGATGATTTTCTTGCTAAGTAACTTCCGTTACGCACAGGTGGCTCTGCCGACGTATGGCACATTCGCTGGCGCCCAGAACCGTGAGCCTACTCGGGTTTAGGTCATCCTAGCAATCTACTTTTCCGTTCATACGCCAAATTTCATCATGCGGAGGCTGAACGCTTTATGGCTCATTGTGCATACCTATGTCCGATATCTGTCCTAATCACTACATTACTTTGTACTTTAGGTCACTCGGTTTATGCCGGGGTAATTCGTTGATTGTAAATAAAGTTCCCATAAAAGGGCTTTGCTTATTGATTTGTAGGGTAATCAAATTTTCAGAGTTATTGGCATTAGCCAAAAATAACGTTATTAAAGGCAACGAACGATTTGTATTTTGAACCTTTTATTGTATATGGTCATGATATTCTTCCATAGTTTCTTGACACGGGACATATGCGCTCATTAAGACCTAAAGAAAGCTAACAAGTAAAGGTTAGTCGAACGGTAAATCGTACCGTAGAGGGCAATCGCTAGGGGCTGTGATAGTCTCGAACCTGTATTGATTCCTTTACCGGTCGTTAATTAAGTCGTCCTTTAAAATGAATGTTGTTTTTCTATCCTTTTTTTTTTGGACATCCTATTTATGTAAGAGTGATCAAAGATAAGATCGGCGAAGTGTGTTTAAGCTTCGATACGCCATAGCACTTAAGTTCGACAATGATGATTTTAGCGAAATTTCTATGTAAATTTTATGTACAAGTAGTCACAACCAGTTAAAAGGGGATTTTTCGAAATATGATTTTGCTCATTTTAAGCGACATGAAAGTAAAGGGGAAATTTTCCAATAATTGAACTGCTCGTACAATATTTGCTATACAACTTTTTAGAAAGAACGAAAATGTAAAGTACACTTTGAGAACCCTAAATTTATTTTTCATTAAACCCAGTTTTATATATATATATATATATATATTTATTTTATAAACATCTAAATGCTAGAGAAGCGACGTCTCTAATCTGTCGTTCAAGATAATTCGTATTGTTCATGTTTATATACTGAAACTTAGATCTGTAGGTTTGGAGCTGAGGCAAATGGCCAACATTATTCAGGTGCTCTGAAGGCGATTTTTTGACTTGGCACATTGAAAGGTACCTAAGAACGTGCTTTAATGTCGTTCTTTTTTTGTCAGGCGTCTATCGATACTTGTCGCACTAAAAGAATTAAATAGGTCAATTGTAAACTGGACTATCGAAGGCGTGGGTTGAAGTCTATGTTAGCAGGGCAGACATGAGTTAAATATCAATGTCACTACTGCCGACCTTGAACAGCACGTATCCTCCCTCGCTTGCTGCGAAATGCTTAACCTCAAGTGTTGATAGGTATTCAAAATTGCTTGTGGTTCAGCATTGCTTTAGCGACGGAATTGAAATGCTGTGAACAACTCAGATGAAATAATCTAAGGTACCCTTCCAGACCTTCAAAGATTTAAGCGCTTAGTACTTTCATTCAATACCTTAAAAAACTCAAGTGCAGCAAAAGGTTAGACAACTAACTGTAAACTCTATCAAAGGGGATTACATCCGTATTACGCGAGACTATTCTCTGTCTCTAATCATTTCCGTCACAGCTACCCCGAGATACCCCGCTATTATTGATGCCCAGAGAACTTTCACTGCCTCAAACTCATGTAACTTTAATAGGTGAATATGCTACTTACACGGTCTGTAAATACATCATACAATGTATACAGTACAACCGTATCTATATAAATACAATTGTATACGTAAATTAACTGTATTTCTGTAAGATCTTAAATAGCAGTATTACAATAGTTTGTTAGAACGTGCGGTACGTAATCAACACTGAGCAGACGTTAATCGATGAGAGACGTGATCTGATAGATTATGGTTGTTATTACGTTGATGACGGAGGTAAACTTCAATGCTAGTTGTGTGAACAGAAAGTGATAAGGCGCACGCACCCTTGGGCCAAATGGACTAGAATTTCATGAAATAGGATGTAACCCATTGTCGGCTCGTGTATGCTCTAGCATATACATATATATTCGTTGACGTTTGCTAATTCCAAATCATTTAATTTAAACATATTCTGCAAAGTATCAGCTAATATTCTTGCTTTCCCAGCTGTTATTGAAGCGTGTGACGACATTCTTCGATTAATAAAGAACGTCCGTAAGGTGACAGGTTTTAGGCGGCCCTTGATCCTCGACAATATCCGTGCTACACAGATGCTGCTCAGTGATACTGGGTTTGATCTTTTATGCAAAATATGATCAAAGCGATTAGAAGGATTATTTTATTATGAAAAAAATTTCCTTTCAATACAGAAGTATAAACTCCCTTCATTTGTTCACAGTGTACTGTTGTTTTGTTGATTTCGGTTGACTTTTCCAGATGCGTTTCCTGCGCCAAAGACGGCAACGCACTCTCGTTACGTACCGAGAAAGACACCCACTCTAGAGCTAGCCTGGATCCGGACGCTACTGGGGCCGTAAGTTATAGTCGTCCTCAGCTATAAATACGGTTACCGATTGGATGATACAAATGGGTCGCATGGGCACGCAGAAAAACGAGAGAAGTCCGGTCGGGCCGAAGGCGAGTATTCGATCAGTCTCGGTGACGACCGAGTTCGTGTCGTGAGGTACGTAGTCGGCGAAAACGGGTATCGACCGAATGTACCGACGGATGAACTCGGTACGGAGTCGAATGACGGCCCTCGAGTACAGGCCATTTGTCCCACCTCATGTAGAACAGCTAGTCCTTGTGGCTGCTTGATTGCAGATTCAGACCATTGATAAGTATGGGGAATAATGTGCTTGGAACTAAAAATAACTCCGATGAGCGCCGATTCATGAAAACAAATGACGATGACGAAGTTCCAAATGGTGAAAAAAATGCTTTGCTTGGGTTTTCCTACGCGACCTATTGAGGTAGCTCCGTCGACGTACGGGACCTTCGCAAGGTACCAAAATCGCCAACAGTCCACCTGGCCATATCGAAGTTAAAAATTGCACACAGAGGGCAAATTACCGAATTGACTCAACTAATCCTACCTTCTATAGTATACACGTTTCAGCTTACGCTGTTCACAACCCGCACCAATACACCATACCGATGATAGACCGTCACCTAGTGTAAACTATAAACACAAATCGATAATTGGAGGTTATCGATGTTGTTAGCCTAAATATCGAATACATATACATGGATAAACTGGGCTGTTGCAGCGCTCGAGTATCTTGGGCTTAACTAAGGATGTCTACGGCTTACAATAACATTTGTCATTATAACACGCCGTGCGCGGCACGACCTTAGCCAGCGATTAGCAGCTAACCAGTAAAATATTGCCTGATACTGAAGCACGCATCGAGGGGTAGCTGCAGTCGAGACCGTCGTTATATAGAAGTGAGCTCAATAGATGGAAATGAAGAATCCGGAGTGAAATAAACAGTCTCAGGGGCTTATCTAAGCTGAAGATTCAGAGTCTTACAAAGCGCTGTGATAACACAGCATCAAGAGGAACGGCCCTAGGACACTCCGTCTGTTTTCTTTTTTGGACGATAAACTAATAATAAACTGATGTCTACTTAATCTTTGTTTGTTGTATAAGTAACTTTTTCGTATTGCAAATGCGCTTCTACTTTTTTTTTGTGATCTAAATTTTGAGTCATCCTTTCACCAAACCCAAATTCGCTCGATTTTTGGGGCTCTGTGAGGCTCCAAATTTGAATGGGCTTTAACAAAATTTCAACTTTTCTTAGACCTATTCATTGATAGCTAGTAAAGCAAGTTTTCTGCTGTAGATTCCTGGCTGGCACACTTATGTTCGTGATTCATTTTGTCTTCATACTTTATTCTTGTTTACAGAAGTGATCGAAGTTTCGGAAGCAAAGCATATCTGAATTCGACAACGTCTGTATCAAAATGGCCTCGTTATGGATGCGTACATATTGTTTACGCACTCAGATATCCCGAAGGTAGTTAGCTAAGTTAACAGCAATAATAATGTAGGTCGTTTCCGTTGTCACGTGTTGCAAGAGCAAGTACCTGAAACGCTTGCATAGGTACATACGTACATGGTCGAAGCGCATGTGTTGCTCTAAAGTATATTTTGTATCTTATCACTCAATGCTAAATGATGATTTAAGCTATCCGAGATCGTCCTGTCGACTATGTCTGCAGATATATCTACAAGTGTCCCGGATTAATTTATTCTGTAAACATCGATAGCAATAAGCCCCAAGTACTTTTGTTCTATCCGTTTGAACAGTTTGACTAGGTGCAAAAAACGTGCCAAACATACCATGCATTGATCCCTAATGCACGGTAACCTTAAGAAGAAACGTTTAGTAGTGGCGGCTGTAAAAAGTTGACCTTGACTGGGTGGGGTGTGGGGTGGGGTGGGGGGGAGGGAGGGGGTTCAAGTGCACTAGTACTTAATTGATGGTCGTTTTGCCTACTGTACTTTATATTAATCACAAATTGTACATGTCTCGTCAAAAACCCAGGTCAATATCGACAACTCGTATATAAAGCAAAGAACTTCAGCTGTGACGATTCGCAGAAACGAACTCATATTTATTTCTCACTCATGCGTTTGTGAGCGTAAAAAAAAAATTGATAAGCTTGCTTACTAGTGCACTGATAATGGCAATGGAATTAATAGATCGCTTGCTTTGTCTAATAAGGAGCTAAACGAAATCTAGGTGCGACGATGACATCCCTTATGAGATGTCAACCTTTGAAAAGCTTCAATCCGTTTACCCATGTGCTGCGAATGTTCCATATGTAGGAAGATTGATCTGAAAGGTTGAACAGAACGAAATTTTTCGTGTACTTAGAAATGCAACGAATCTAAAGCCAGAGTATAAAACTGTGGGACATATGCTCAGTATATAAAATGACTCTAGATAGTGTCGCCCGAGCAGAATGTAAGGCCGGATGCGAGAAATATGAAGGATAGACAAAGTCGACTTTTACGTTCAACGATTTTGAAGGCACAGCAAAATTCACGAAATATAAATGAGACCTTTGTCAAATAAGCAAAAACAAAGCTATGCAAATTATGCATTGAGAAATCTCATTGTCGTACTGTTTTACGATATGTTCGCTAATTATAAGCTAAATAAACGCTTATCCAGCTTTGGAACAATATTTCGTTTTACATAGTTTTTTTTTTTTTTCCATAAATTTAAAAACACTCTACTGCGCAGGTCCGGCAGCTTGGGCAAAGATATTTAGGAAAAGACAAAATATATTATCTTACTCGGGTGTCAATTTCTTGCTGTTTAACTACGCGCGGCGCTTCGGGACGTGGGTGTGGTTCGAGGGGCACCTCAATATGCGGGGGTGCAAATGGACCGTATTTGAGAGCGGCTTCATATCCCGAGATGGCAGTCGAACCTATGTAAACGTCGCTCGGGTTCTTCGATTCGGTGCCCAGCTCGTCTGTCGAGATGTCAGCTCGATAGCCATTCTCATCAGCGACGTACCTCACTACACGAACCCTACCATCGCCTAGATTGATCGAGTATTCGCCTTCGACGCGGCCCGATTCATCACGCTTCTCAATATGGCCATGTGAGCCTTGCGTGTCATCTAGCTGATACCCGTACTCGTACGGTCGTGGTGCGTATGATTCACCGACGTTCACCTTCATTTGCGTCCTGCCATCTACATACCTGTCCTGACGATAGGCCCATGGGTCTGATTCCCTTAGCCGGGCCGTGCTGAAGCTTCCCCGGTCAATCACAACATCGTAACCAGCTTGCTGCAACTGTTTTCTGAGGTCTTCTTGTGAATAGGCCACTGTGCTGATGCAGACAAGAAATATCTCCACCTAGAAGATGGCGTTCAAGATCAAGAAATCGGTAATATTAGAAAGCGTCTCTCGCAAAGTACGTACGCATCTGCCAATGTAGAGCTTATGGGAAGTGGTTGAAAAGACGCTGGCTTACGAAAATGCAACGGGGCACAGCTACACCAACGCACAGGCACTCACAAATGGCTTTTCCCGTGTCACCGCGTACTGCGAACAAATACCTTTATCTTTAATTGGACTAGTGTAATAAACAAATCATCTTATATGTATGGAGAGAAAATAAAATTTTGAAAGAACGCTGGTTTCCCGCCCGTTGACCCATTTCTTTTCCTTGAGTAAACATGACACATATCACTTAGTCGAATCACCAAAATTGATGATTAAACATCGGTTTGTCCTTTTCGATATTTTGCCCCGCACACATCAGTACGTCATCGCCTACCTTTAAGAACATTGTGTACGTATGAATTCGCCGGAAGACTAGAACAGAATTCGGCTTCGTCTCCTTTTATAGGCTTTCAGATGTGTATATATATATATATATATATATATGTTTTTAGTTAAATACCATAAAAGCGGCACGTGATTTTAAAGGAGAAAGTGACTTCATGCAAAGATGACAAAGTTGTTGGGGATGGTTAGGGTGTTCGTTGTGGCGGATAACGTGGACATTTTTGACAGGCGCCCGGAGTATAGGCATCGGACGACACTCGCTGTCGTATAAGCGGCATTTCAAAAAAGTTATCGATCGACAACTCTTTCGGAGTTGCGCTATCTCGTTGAACAGTGGACTTCTCTGGAAATTACCAACTCATCGGAGCTGTTTCTCCTGTTGTAAATCTCTTTTTCTTCAATCGGATAGTTGAAGTACTTGTTGCTAGTGGAGGAAGATGTGAGTCAGCATTAGCGATGCTGCAGATGTCTTCCGCGACGCCACCTAGACGGACCTTGAAGTTTAGCTGGCGATGATTGGGTTGCCAGAGTGGAACAGCCAGGAAGACGCTGGCTGGTCGCGTTATTGAAAAGGTTTATATTACGGCTTCATTTTTACAAATAAATGGGCTTTGGTCCCACTTAACAGGCATAAAGACAAGGTAAAAACAATAGAAGCATCAATATGCGTTCGCTAAAACAGAGACCTACGCCATAGACTAGTGTGTTATCTAATGAAGAAGCACCTACTTAACACAAATATGTATGAAAGCCAGTGAACGTTTGCTGGTAAACATAAAATCGCTTATGGAATTAGATAATGGAATACATAATTATTAACGACTGCTATTCAACTTTTCATTTGTGCTACATGATGATTTAGGAAGTTTACGCTGCCATAGGCCGAAACGCTTTAAATGTTAAAGACGAAAAAATACAGATAAAAAAAAATTGAGCCATCGAGGAACGAAGAACAGCAGTGACATCACGTTCATCTAACGATGTGTGATAACACCTTCATCAGTATATCTGGCTATACACGATATAGCTAGAAGGCTACTTGTATATTTCTAAGAGCAATGCTGGCTGACATAGACAGGTCTAGAAGCAAGCTTTGGTTACGCTGGAAACGTACATACACACGCGTATGTAAGCTGCGTATAGGCAAAGGGCCTCTTCTCTTGTGTACCTCAGGCCACTGATCACAGTGAGTATAACGTAGTTCAAGCTTGTGCTAGATATTCAGCTTTAAAATTAGATTCGAAGTTCGAGGTGCAGATACTGTGAGTATGATCGAAAGCTGCTGTGGCCTTCGTGGCAGCAACTTCAATCTGGCTTCCGATCAATACTTTATGTTATCGTTTCTGAAGTCTTCGCGGAAAACATAATGTAATATTACGATAAAGAAGAATAAGGCACACATTAAAATCCACCATCTTCATATCGACATATCATATACTTTATAGTATACGATAGGCGAAGCTGCACATGAACGTAACCACAGATAACATTCGGTTCTAAGCAAGTTTGATACCATTTATTATATATTCGGTATATCCTATATATATATATATATATATATACAAAATGTATTTCGAAGACCCGTCCGACGAGTGTGAGCTTTGTGTGTCTACCGAGCTAGACACTGAAACTGCGAGCGTTATGATACTAAATTTTCGAAGGAAAAATCCTGTTTTTGAGATGTGTCTGTTGTATCACGTAGATGTTTACCGTAAACAAGCCAATTAACTAAAGCGCAAAACGTTTAGAACACGAAAGCGACATTATCATACAATAGGGTAGCGTAGAATGAATCTGCTGGTCGTTATTTCCTATCCAGCGTCGAAATCATTTCTAGATTAGAAATCTAGCAATTTATGTTTTGTTATCAGTTTATTAGGCAAAGATTCAGTAAAGCTACACTATTTGTACGACTTCGTTCTGTTATACTATATTCTGTGATACTTCCATTTAGAAAGGCAGACTTATTGCCATATGAAAATAACCCGACTAGTGATAACAATTATGGCTGATAAATTTTCAAATATTTGCCGCTTCTTTTACTCTAGTCAAATTGTCTCTATGAAGAGGTATTTAACCACGGCCGGCGGGGCCTTTCAACAACTATTCCTACATAATTCGTATTTAGCGTGGCATATTTAAAGTTAAGTGTTTACATCGCTAAGCAGTAACTAAAAATAAACTAATATCACATTGTGTTCTCTTTTTTTTCCTTTTTTTTCTAGGACAAATCAAATACGTTTTTTTTTTCTTTTTGTAATCGCACCGACTCAAATAACCAGGTCAATCCGATGACGCATTCAGCATTGATATCGTAAAAAAAAATATTTAGATATTGTAACAGCACTTCAAGATCAAAGGTGGCAGTGTTGGCTGTAGTGAATTCCTGTGTGCTTTGTTCTTGGTGGCATGATCCCTTCTGAAGGTCTAGGCACCATCTTTAATTCCTGATACAGAAATTTGCGGAAGCTTAGACACGCACTGTCTACCTTTGGATTATAGATTTCATGCTGAATACTGGTTACGCCCTGATCCAGTTTACAAGGTGAATGAGTTGTATATTCGTGCCACTGCTTCAGAACTATAAATAAATTCACAAGCCACGGTTACGCTGAATTTGAGCCGATGGTATTTAGCCAGGTTCGATTATTTCTTGAAATTTACGAGGTGAAACAGGCTCATCTCAAGGTCTAAATGGCCAGAGGAACTCGAAAGCTAGTTTGTCAGTTATTGCAGTCCAGGGCCAAGGTCGGGGAGGGGACCAAAGGCATCTTTTGTTAGAGTACGTGAAGGGTGGGGATCAAGCCTCTTGAATACGCTTCCCGAAGCTCTGAAATTAACGGAATTTTCAACAGCGACGCCCTTTGAAACGCCTTACTAGGTGTAAATCTTGAATATATAATGTTGCGCAAATGCTTCTTTACCAAATATACCTCATGGAGCCGAGGTAGTCGAGGATACTAAGCAGCCGCACTATCGGCACGCCGTCCCCTAGGAAGAACGCGGACATCATGCGAATATTTGCAGGTTTTTTTTTTTAAAAGAATGGCCCAGTTTTTAGAGAGTTCGTTTTGAACGTACGTGGAAGCTTATGTGACATAAAACATATTATAACTACCTCAAAATGGCCAACTCGTTTATGTCACAGATTCTGGTTCTCTCATATAACGAAATGTAGGCACCTTATTAAACAAAATATTGCGCGTTATCTAGATATAAAATATATGCAAAATGTCACCCTTATTGCACTTATTGCTATTATATAAAATAAATATTATTTACTTTTCATTTTACTCCTAACTTATGTAGCACCTTAAGAGGACCTTACTTTGAGCCAGTTATCAGACATATATAGTGATAAAATTCATTGTCTCAGTGGCGAAAGCTCGGTGTCTATGAGTGGCACAAGTTGGAGGCGCCGGCAACTCCGCATTCAAGCCGTTCAGGGGCGTAGAAACCGACTTCGAACGAAATAGCATGGAACAAATCGTACGCTTTACCTTCCTTACCGTTCTTTTTTTTGTTCCACAAATAAGCGTGCTTAGTACTCTGGCCGAAGGTCAAGTCGCAGCTCTCAATCTCGCCCATGCTATGGAAAACAATACAAGTGGTTAAAAAGCGTTCGAAGGGCTTGAAATTTTTCACAAACAACACATTCCAGCTTTTTTCCTTAACCTAGTACTAATTTAGTAAGATTGCCTGCTCTTTTTTCAAGTAGACCATTTTCGTCATCGAATCTGAACCCAGGTTCACTGTGTAACGCAAATTCTACATTCTACAAGCGCACATACTGATTGACCTAGTCTTACACCTAATTATTTTTCCCCACATATGATAAACGTATCGTAAGGGTCGCCGACGATCGGCTAGCTGCTTTTCGACTGGTGCTTAATAGACCTATTCATACATCCCGGAACTTAAGCTACTTTTTTCAATAGAGAGTGTCTGTTTTGTTTAGAAATTTGTGTGAAGGCGTAAATTATATTGCTCTGCAAAAGATCAGTCTGAACAAGCAACGTGTATTATAATGTCTGTGTTTCGAAATTTCAAGTTGAGATGATTAATATTTATTTGATAAACAATGTTTACCGCCATTAATTGGCCAATAGTGAGTCTAATCAATATACATAGAAAATCGAATGAGCCGTTAACGTATCGTCCGAGTTTACTTAGCAAAAAGGAAATCGCACAAATACGAAATGGATTTTTCTCTTCTATTTAAGTAAAGAAAGGGATTAGTAAAGAAAAACATTCGCCAAGAGAAGACCGACGTCCTCTCAGACGCATAGAAACGTCCATTTTTAAAACGGCAGTTTCACAAAATGCGACTCATTTTAAGGTAATCGACGATGTGTTGCTAAGTGCCAATCTACTGAACTGTTAAGGATGGACAGTTCCCTTCTCCATCATACAGCATTTTCGGAAAGAGGCATAGGAACTTCATTTTTATTCTAGCACAGAACCGATGTGACTCCAAAGCGATACATGAGTGCTTCAAGCGTATCCGAAACGATGATGCTACTCAGGGAAACTTCGTTGTTCTTTGTGCATCGCACAGCAGACTCCGTAACTCAGTACTCGCTAGTTACCATAACTGCTGTACTTGTCGGTCACAATGATTTGCAATCGATAATTAGCTGATCCGAATTTTCGTCTGCAGGCAAGCAAACTACGAGTACCAGTCTGCCTGAAAGTGGTTCACTTCAGATCTCTTCCGTTAGTTGGAACTGCAACGATGGTAAACCGAATAGCGGAGTAGTTTCGAATTCCGCCATTTTGCGGTCAAAGTTTCTTTATTCTAGCAGAATCATATAGTAGTTTAAAGCAGCACCGGATTTTCAAATGTGATAGCGCTTTTCGTTCTGTTGTTTTTTTTTTTATTTAATAGAGAAATCAAATAAGTCACGCGTGAGGTTATTACATGTGATTGAGAAAATTGCGTCTACTAGAATTAAGGTGAGCTCGCAGTGAATTCTATGCTTTCATCTGGATATCGAATCAACTTAGGTTGTACTTGTGCGAAAACTACACGATGGGCAATGCCCCAGCGAACAGAGTGCCAGTTATCAAAACGAACATTTTTGATCAAACACGTAGCGTTTATCGCGTACGTTATCGTTGAGGTGTCCAAGTAAGTAAGGCAGGCCTAGTATGAGTTTGTTAAATTACAGTATATTATGCCAATCGGAAACGAAGTTCCTATTGACAAGCGAAACTAACGCGAGCCATTTACAAGAGGGCCAAAGGCCAAATTGCAAGGTCGTAACATTTTATCTACAACACTAGTTTTCTCTAAGTGAATTATGAATGAAACGCAAAAATGTTTTTTCGAAAAGTTAGATTGTTTTCATTGTGATCGCTCTTGACACTATGTAGGCAAAAATTGCGGTTATTAAGTTTTGATTGTAGATTCTGAACCTTTTTGACCAGGCACCTTCTGATATGAGTTCATTGGACGCATTAATAGAGGTCCTCGAATCCCTAATGCCCGAGGAAGTAAAGAGGCAAATCAAACAGTCAGCCGAATCTGAGCCTGGCTACGGAGAGGTAGGTAGCCAAAAGTTCTCCGCCTTCACCGAAATGGACGAATGTTTTAAAGAATGTCGCGATCAACCTAGGGAGAACAGGTTAGATCTTCTTATCGACGCCCTTAAACAACAAATGCCACCCACTGTAAAGATGCTAATCCAACAAGAGCAAGATCGGCTGGACGAAGAATTGATGGAGTGTCATGAAGAATTGCCCGAATCTAGCGCCTCGAGCTCGTTAAGCTCGATTGATGATGAAGAGGTCGACTCTGAGCTAGGCTGGTCCCCACATGATGACGAAGATCCGATGCTCGACAATAGCAGTGATGTACAGGAAGCGTTAAATGAAGAACGATCTATTGAGGAAATCGATAGAGAAACTCCAGAACTCAACAATGATCTGGAGGAAGAGGCTGCCTATAGTTCCCGCGGGGACATCCCGTACGTACCACGACTAGGTATTGCTGGCTTGAACTTGGGTCAAAAATATATTTTGGATTCAGTTTTTAGGTTATTTGCTTTGGAATGGCAATTTTCTTTGTCAAGTAGTGTCGATCTACAGTTTTTTTTTTTTTTTTCGAAAGTATTTACCACTAGAAGTAAAATCAGCCTGTTTATTAAATCAAGTTTATTCTAGCCTAGGTATGCTGTTCAGTCAGTCATCGAGGGGTTGCTGGGCACAATGTTTATGACGTGCGAACTTTCTAGATATACACGCATCTCCTGAATACATTATCGTGCATCATGCACTAGCTGTTGACACGAATGGTGCACGAACTTTGCATTTCTTATTTCAAACTCATGACGCAATCCTCAACAGCTTATAAAGTGTGGGTAAATGGCACGAAAGGGGCAATAACTATAATTCATAATGAATAGTAATAATTCATTATGAATGTATGATCATTAGAAGAGTTGAGGTCTACAGATGGACGATGTATACACACGAAAAAAAAACTAGAAAGTATAATGTTAGCTCAGCTAGAAGCACAATGCAAATGACGATAACAATTTGCTCTAGCGGGACATTTGGATTTTGGGAAGAAAGAAAGTCAGCAGCGCATGTAATTGATACGCTTGCATGCACCGATCAGGCCATGCTGGGATAATAGAACTATTCACATCAAACATTTTTCACCCTAGCTTTTAGCTTGATACAATAAAATGATTTGAGTCTGAACGATTTGCCGTTTCCGGAAATCTTTTTCTTCAAAATATATACGTTTTACCGGAGCTTTAGATGTTACTACAGACTGTTGTTCGAAAAACCGTGCGGGTTGCTCAGCGTATCAGGACACTGCGCGGTCGCAGTTCTCGCTTAGGTGGCGTGGGCTTCTTGCGGAAGTAGGCTCATCACTTACGACCTAAAAAATTCCGGGAACAGCTTAGATCCTCCGTACACTATTTACTAGTTTCTTCACAGTTTAATGGAAAGTATATACAGCAACAGGCTGCGTTGATGTTTTTAGAACTTCATTATATATGCAGCGCTCCTTCACGCATGCAGAAACAGTAAAAGGAAATTGGTGCTGGCCAGCGGTTTCGTTTCGCGGTTTAAGGATCACAAAGCCTGCGTAGTCCTGTCAAAATACTTTTGTCTTATTAGTAGCTGAATCCAGCTGGATATTTTTCATCAGAAGATTCCTTTGTTAGCCAAATGGACAAACGCAGTAAGACCGTCGAGCATGGCCTACTTAATTGCTAGCCAGAAAATTATTCGAGTTCAAACGTGTAATTAAGGATTTTTACAGCAAGACGTTGTGTTTCCCGATTCTGTGGGACGGCCAGATCTCCTCCACGGAAGACACTCTTCTGAAGAATGGTGACAGAATTCACTGGATGTGTTTGTGCGTGCGACAAATTCGCGATATACCTCCCTTGTGCCTAATAAACGATGTAATGAAAATCTATGAACTCCTCTCTTGATTTCTTATTTGCTATATCATTGCGTATGCTAAAAATGGCAGATTTGTTGGTCTAAGCTACACTAGCTTGAGCTTACTCATACTGAGCTGACTTAGTAAGGCAGCATAAATGTAACGTGAAGCGATCTTACTGACCTGCTCTTAGGTGCGTGTTAGACCCTTCGCGTAGATGCTCGACGGCGTCAACTTCGTCTAGAGGAACGGATATTCTGGACGAATGCAAAAAGAGACGTGGATCTGGGGCCAGACCTTACAGGTTGCAGGCTTATCTTGTAAACACTATCATTACATTTGTAGCTTTTTGCCGGGATGAAACGGAAATTGACTTGTCAAGATGTCTAGGGTTCTTCAAGCTTGAACGTAGCTAACTTTTACTCGAGACAGCCACCAAACATTCCTACAATTAAATTTAAATATTGCCCTTGTTACTCTGTCATAGGCAAATATCTCACTCACGTCACGTTCCCCTAATTATCTTAAACAATTTGGAGACGCTCGTAAGGTAAAGCTCTGAGGTGCCCCGACCTGTTAGTGGCTAGTTTTTGGCAAAATCAATTAGATTCCCGCTCAGTTTTCGCAGAAGGCAACTATTTATTTTTACGGACATTCAACTACTTCAACCTATCTTTATTTGAGCCCAGAAAACTTACTTGGCAGACGTCGGTAATTTATCATTGCCTGCATCGGCCGATAAACGTTCTATATTTTGCGGCTATGATTTTTCAGATGTAACGTGTGTAACTGCGGCTTCGGTCACAAGTCCACATTAAGAAATCACTATCGCATTCATACCGGTGAACGACCTCATCGATGCTGCGTTTGCCTAAAGAGTTTTTCGCAGATCGGTAGGTTAATTTGTTTAACTAACGTTTGTGATCCGAGTAGTTAGTTTAGCTAAAAATGACATACAGGCCCCAGCGTGTTTTGGGTTTATGGCCCTCATATAGTTAGATAATCTAGTGTTTTTTCTTACTTTCGACATTTGTTAAAAATGCTTCGGTTTTTTTAAGCTCTCGTATTTTACTAAAACCAGCCCCTGGCTACTGACTTTAATCGAGCACATAATAACACATTGGTGTAACGATACGCAAATTCGCGATTCAGGAAACCTGAAGAGACATCTTGCCCAGCATGCAAATTTGGCGCTTTCTTGCCCTCGGTGCGGTGTAATCTTCGCGTTTGGCCATCTGCTTCAAGGTACAGTTAGAAAACTTTGCGTTTACGTTTGTAAACAATTCAAATAGAAACTTATAAATGGGAACTGAGTTGCAAATATATAGCGCATTTATATATGCTATGGGTAGAAATCATGTTCAAGGATGAGTGGAACAACAAACCTTGTATACAGTAACGTACAGTGAGACCTATTCTTCTAATGGCTAATATACATATGTAAAAATTACAATTTGTTGCCCTGTTAGTACATCTTCGCTCGTGCCGAAAACAGGCGCAATCCCATGAACGACAATTGAATAGGTTGCCCAACTGCAAAAGTAATAGCAGCAGTGGTAAGGGAACTATGAGCGCCACAGTGAAAATGGCAGAAACACATGCGAAAGACACATTCTTGGTCGCCGCCCAGCTTTCGGCCGTAGACGAGGACAGCTCCGTTGCAGAGGTGACAACGGCATGGCCTTCCGAAAAACCCGGAAAACAAGTCAAACTGTGGACCATGTATCCTTGTCCACATTGTGACAAGGTATTAGGTTTGGCAGTGAATTTTCCTTTCAAAGGTACCAATCGCCTAGTCTCACAGGAGGATGGCAAATATACGAATGTAAACAAGCGTTGTGTTTGAAAGGATAATTACTGACTAACGTGAATGAACGTTGTCAATTGCAAATCTATGGTCTCACTAAGGTTCTTGTTTAAATACGAAAACTAGCAAACCAATAAATAGATGTATGTATCTATTTTCGTGGTATTAGACTAGGCGTGTAACACATTGTGTATTTGCCTTCTGCCCCGTTGTTCCTCCTACGTCCTCATGCCTCTATTTCCGAATCTCATTTTCTACTTACTACGGTCTTGTGGCTCTCTCCCCCAGGTGCTTACTTGGCAGTACGACCTGAGGCAGCACATGGAGTCACATCGTCGGCTGCGCTTCTTCAAAGGCGCAAAACGTAACGACGGCGGAACAACGCGTCCCGTGAGCGTTTGTACTACTGAGAAAGTTGTTAACCCAAGCACGGCATGCAGGACTGATACCCGCAGCCGAAGTCGTGCGGGTTCACTTTAGTTCAGCGTCATGGATATAACGGACAGTTAAGATGATTTCGACGAGCTAACGTATTATGTGATATAATGAGCTTTCGACTGGGTCCTCATCTTCCCATACACGAGCTCAGCTCTTACGACCTAAGTAGACTATTTGAATTTTTCGAAGAACAAGAAGCTTATCGCGTTCCATGACGTTGTCAACCTTCTACGTCGGTGCTGTGACGACTGTTATATATATATAGTGTATATCGCAAATGGAATAGGTAACATTCAGTACTATGTATAAAGAATCACATTCAAACAACAAACACTTACAGTTTATAATGCCCGCTCTCCTCCGGAGTACGAGTTGACAAAGTGATATGAAGTTAGTTATAAGATCTAGTCAGCTAGTTACCTTTTTTTTTTTGAATTAATTACAAATAATAAAAACAGTTGAAAATATGAGTTACCAACAGTTAGATGCAGCTAAAATTATGCGAAAGACATAAGACAGCCGGCATAAAGCTTAACTCGCCTGTATTTTTTTTGGCTAGATTATTTATGGTGGTGTGTTTTTACAGAACGGTTTCACTGATATTTAAGATATCATCAATAAAAAACGAATTCTTAAATTTTTATCTATAATTTTTCAATACTATTTCATATGGAATTGCGGCTTGGGAAGAAAACGTGTTAATTGGGTGGTTAAGAATCGTGCAGAACGATGCTCTACGAGCAATATCCGATAACCTTAGGTGGTACCATGTTAAACGTCAACGCAATACTTTTCGGATTCATGGACTAAACTTTGTCCTTTGACGTTCCAAGTAGTCTGTCAGTAAAAGAAGAACAACAGAGATTGCAGTAACGAAGCGCTTAGGGGATTTATACTGGCATATGGTACTAGCGTCAACCAGAAAATGAGCAGTGTTTGTATATAATAGTAATAATAACCCACCGGCATGGCATCAACGAATACATCTGTGACACAAATTTTAGTGAACCGCGTTCACAGTCAACTTCAAATGCTTCCGATTAGTAATTAAAGCTATGCTTCAATGTAAATAATTTATTTTTAAAGTAGTATATTCTACTCGGGATAAAATGTACCGGATGATTTCTAACTATAAAATGCATATAGACATGTATGGCTTGTTTGAACAAACAGGTGGTCTGTTGTTCTGGCGCTCTGCAATTTACGACGACGACAACGACACGTTTTCTGGAAAATCCGTTCAAATCAATGATCCCTTTTAAAACTGCAAGATCAAGCCACTGCCGTAAGAAGCGTCGCCAGTCAACCAGATCCAGCTGTTAGTGAACACACGTTAGTCCTCATCCAACCCTTCTATATCAGATACAATTCAGTCATAAGCACAGGGATCCCTTCCGTAGCGTTCCTGATCGACTCTCTACTTACTTTGAGCAATTCCGTATTTTCATTTTTTTTTTTTTAATCGCATCTTTAACATTTGCATACATTTCATACAACAGTACATTTTCACGCGGTCAATCAAAGGCCGTTCATGTACCATGTAAAATCATGTGCGAAGATGCGTTATTATCACAGACCGCCCCTCATCATTTGCGAGGTTATTTGGTAACAAATATTTCTAGTCGCAGCCATGAGCTTTCGAATGTGTGCAACAGATCCATCGTTAACAAATGACGTTTTTCCTTCAAAAATAAAATGGCGCAAGATGCTCAACCCAGCATCTTATTACTTCGCGAAAGTGTTGTATGATGGCCTTCCACGCAGAGCTGAAATTATAAAAGGCCACGGCCATGATATGTACCGCTACTATATGTGAGATATTGGCTTCGTGAAGGCTAAAACTTTGTCATTATTGACGAAATACGTATACATAGTGGGCTTCGCGGTCAACAAGGCCTCGTGAGGCCTACTAGCTCACATTCGCATTTTGTTTTTGATTGGGTACATTGAATTGTCATCGGTACGTCTAACGTTTTTGCGATCCACTTTTAACTCGTGTCAGCCTCTATTCTTTAGCAATAACAGGAAGTAATAATAGAATTAATCGAGCGTATTCCTTTAAAAGAGGCGAACAGGTAAAAGACACTGACGTTTCTTTATCTACAAATACATGATACCAGATTAGGAGAAATGTTGTAATTTATTTATTAATTTCATTTAGTTATTAATTTCACTTGGTTTAGAGGTAAGTATTTAATTTCCGCCAAATAGCAAGCTTTTTTGTCGTGCAGATTGCATTAATCAGTAGCAGTTAGACAGACGAATTGGTGTGACCGGACCCGAGAAAGCCTAATCACTCGAGATAACGGGAGGCCACCTATTGGGGCACACCCGCAAATGTGCCGTAGGTTGGAACATTCACCCCACCCTGGAACGACAGACCCCCCTGCTGTAGAGGTCGAGAAACGGCTGGTCGTGACAATGTACCAGTAATGGGAGCTGTGGCTATGGTGGAAATACGTTGTTGGGTATCGAGCTCCTGCTAAGACAGACGATAAAAAGTGTTAAGGACAACAGCATACGAACGAAATCGACAAAAATAAAGGAGTACTCGTATCAGAGAAGAAATCATATTGGTCAATGGACTTCGTTGACATTGCTTATTTTGCCGTGTTGTAACGCGTAGCAAAAGGAAGTTTTTTTTTTCCAGTTTCTCCCTAAGTTTGCATTGCCGTAACTGAACTCATGCTTACTCTTTTTGGCCCATATAAAATGGCAGCTTCATGACCCGTAATAGCGGACGAGGTGAACACGACGTCTGCGGGATTTTTCGATTCAGTACCGAGTTCGTTTGTGGTCACCTCGGCGCGATAGCCATTTTCGTCGGCTACGTAGTTAACGGTACGTGTCCGACCATCCGCCAACGAGATGCTATACGAGCCGGTCATCCGTCCGTTTCCGTCGCCGCTGGACTACGTAAATTAGTGCGACAAACCAGCGTTCGTTCGAATTAGAAGAATCAAGCAGATACATAATTAAGAATAGGGTTTACTAATGTACACGACTTGGGCGTTTCAATAAAATGGAATTGTCCAAATATTGAAACACGCGTAAATTTTGGGTGCTTTTGGTTATATAGCGATCGGCAGCCCTGATGTCCATTGCCCATAGACAGAAAAAAATTAACCAGTAGGATAAGGAATCAAGCACGTGTTGAAGAGCGAAATGTATTTTTCAGCTTCCTGATAGTGTGTCATGCACCGATTTCTTTACCTGAGCACTGTGTGATCCTTCGGGGTCATCTGAAGTGTAAGCGTATTCAAACGGTATAGGTGGGTATTGAATCTGTCGATCCAAAGAAAAAAAATACATTCATCTTTTTGTTTTTTCTCATAGAAAGTTAAATTTAAAGCCTAATCGAGACATTTCCTCCGATTTAGATAAAACAAATTAACGTTCGGTTCGACGGCACATTGCTTCTTCATTGGCTCAGCCACAAGGTCCACATAAACCTCTAATTTAAAAAAAAAAAAACTCAGAATACAATTTTTGCGTTCCTGCTTGCCATCACCCTGTATATACGGACTCCGTTTGACTTAGCTCTGCTCTGTGAATATTGTACTGTGGTCTTGACGTGCACTTTACCAAAATACCAGACAAATCATGAAAGTCTGTCGTTTATAATAAGGGTAGAAGACACGCCTGCACGTTTAAGTTACTTACCTGCTGCAGCTGAACATTACTAGGCCGAACGGAAATTTGTTGAGCTTTGACAGCGTTAAACAGAAGGAGAACGCCACCGCTAACTATCACCGGTAAATAGATCGACTGAAAGTATTCCAAAACAATTGGGATTTGCTTAATTATGAACCGTTACTAGGTTATGTCTTCATCAACGTATGCCTATACACGCGTGCATACGTAGCTGCACATAAGACAAAGAGTGACATTCGGTTCTAATCATAATTTTTTATTGACTAAATGAATTTCTGTCTATCAACGGAACCCATTGCCAGGCTCTTGACGATAAAAAAAAACTTCACATTTTCTGTTGCATAAGTTAAATATTCACTCAAGATGGCGTAGCACATGTTCCGTTCGTGTAGCGCCATTGTTTCGCATAACAACTTAGAAACATGGTAAGTAAAATTAAGCTGTCGAAAATACTTCGATTGTTAGCCTTGGAAAAGCATCTATTAAAATTTAGAACTCAAAAAAAAGGTGTTTGTATCTTAAAAAATAGAGTAACGAACCTTGAACATAATTCTGCCGGCGGAAATGTAATCTGTCAATGATGTTTCAATGCGTCCGGTGGGCGCTTTTTATCGCTCTCGACTCCGCCAGAGCTGCCGATAATGATGAGATAAAGCCTATGTTAAAGCCAGCCCCCTTACTCATCTTAGTATCCGTCCTCCTCGACCCGAAAGCCTGCGTGCTTCTTCTATTTTCGTTGGCAAACCTTTTCGTCCCTATTAACAAACTCATCGGTCGACAACTACGTAATACGAATCGACTTCGTAGCACCGACAGTCTTAATTCTTTCAGAAAGGAAACAATCGTATTTGATAATATAGCAGAAATAGAAAATAGATAATGCCCGCATCTTGTTACTATCATCACGATACAACTACCACTTTAACTACTGGTAACGATTTGTTTTGCTTCGTTGACGTTCTGCTCGACGGTTTCAATGTTAAGGGACGACAATATTGCGAAATCCAACGAACTATTCGTACTGCCTAAAGCATATAACTCGCTCGCTCGTGCACCCGTAAACGGGGTGCTCGATCGTGTCAAATTCTGTGCTGTAGAAAAACAACAACAACTTGTAACAATTACGCCACACAGTTTAGAGGATTACAAAATATGGCGGTAAGCATCTGCTCAACTTATCGTATGTCCAATAAAATGTGGAGAACTATCCGTCGTGAAAAAAAGGTCGGCTTGAACTTGTTGCATGCGTCAAGCTCGAACCAACTGGATTAACTATCTCATTCGTTATGTCCACGACCAGCCGAATATATACAGGCTCAGTGTATAAGTTACAACGTTTGTCAAGGCAAGGGAGAACCATGTGTTTCTGGTAAATAGGTCGCTTTAGACATTTTCTTGCTCCGTGCTTCAAATTTGTTCGAGCGATCAATAGACGCTCACTCGCGCAGCTGGTCCTCAGAGATGGGTTCGTTTCCTTGGCCTTATCAACAGACAGAAGATCAAAATTATACCCTAATGTACATAATCGTTTTTACGAGAGCTTCCACAAGGGTAACGTGGATCAGCTTTACCTTGAGCAGTCTAACCTAGATATTTGCACCCCTTCACTTGTCGGCTTGATACAGTGGCTTGAACTCCCATTAAAGGCCTGCTTCCGTGGATGTGCTAATAGGATTTTCCTCAACCCGCTAAGTGCTAATGATTTTACTGCTGTGAATATCAGTATTAGAAATTATAGCAAAATCCTTATATGTGAAAGGAACATGAAAGGCGTTCCTGAGTAAAGGCTTTATCCAGACGCTTTCGAACGGTTGCTTTTAAATCACTATGGAAACAATGACTAAGCAAAGGAAGCACTAGATTTTGTTTTTAACAAACATCTTCATTCAGAAATGAATAAAAGCAAAATCGTCGAGGGCGTCGGCCGGTTAGTAAGTTAGCAATACATTAATTAAATACCATTAATGAAATAATATTGGAATATATTTGTCGTACAAAATATGTTGCGTGTGCCGCCGCGCGACTAGCCAGCATCTCGTTAACAGGTGCTGTAAGACCATGTCGCTAGCGATCCCATCAACCCATCTGTGTTTTGTCCTAAGGTACGCACGTACCAAACACTCCTGGAGTTTATCTGAGAAGTACTCGCTATATTTGGCAAGATGAAGTTTTCAAGGCACTACCATATTGTATTATGTTAGCGTAAGGTACAAACAGCTGGGAGGTGCAACAAAGATTTCTTTGGATGGCGGATCGTCGATAACTAGAGTAGGGGTAATAAATCAAAGCGAATTTACGAAACCAACTCGATAAAGTCACCCTGTTGTTGACCCTCATTTTGCGTAAGACGCCAGCTGTAGACGTTAAATTCGAAATAATCGCGGAGCACTGAACACAGCTTCAGCTAACGCTGCCATTGTACAGACCTGCTGGATGCCTCGTACTAGGGGCAAATCGGCATGTACAAGCCAGCGCCGCCATCGCCGTTAAACATCGAATATATTTTCAGACCAAAAGATGTCTTTCTCATAAAATTAGCGAAGATGCAGATTAATTGGGAAACTTGATGCACAAACTTCTGCGTATTCTATCATCCGACTTGTCGTCACCTGTAGAGACGTCACACGTATGTACCTATTTGTTAACTTGGTGTCGAGAATACAAACAAGGAATCTATCATTTGGCAAGGGCTTCAAAATCGTCACGTGCCGTTGTAATACGGAACAGATAAGTGCGCGGTGAAGTCTAGTCAGTAATATATTAAACTAGTTTACTAAAACCTCGCTTACGTATGGGCATTATTAAGTAATACGGCCTCCATTTTCTTCTGGACAAATATTGGAAATCCGGTAGAAGAAAACAACTGGTAAAAGAATGAAGAGAAAACTATTACTCCTTGTTTTTGCTGAGAGGGACGAAACCCTTCGATCAAACCAGTATTTATCCGACATTGACCGTAGAATGGAGTCGCAACATATATGCGATATAACGTTAGAAAAATATTCGTGCCGGCTGAATGCAGCAGAGCTACGATCCAGTGCTAAGGTTCCGAGCAATACTTGGTCCACAACTGACCGAACAAGGTACCACGTAGTCACAAGTTCATCACTATACCTACTTTGCAGCCGGGCCTATTTAAACACGATACTGATATATTTCTAATTTTTATTGAGCCCTATAAGAGTGGAACCATCTGCGCGGTCTGCTTAGCTACTCTTACTTCTTTTTTGACAAAATGCTGAATCCGCACCTTTGTCTCTTCTGACATGTTGATTTCGACATTTAATTCGTGTCATATTCTGGCAGGATGCTGTCGCATTTAGCCGTGAAGTCAGACCGCTAAAAAAAAAGTAGGGTGGGGTTATTTGAACAGTAGCTGTTTATCGTGTCACAAAAATAACACTGGTTCATTGATAGGAACACCTTTAGCCCAGGTTGTGGCGTAATAACTATAGTTACCTTCCCGTATAACAGCTCCCATAATGATCTGCAGGTCGTTTCGCACGTCTATCAGACCTGCTATGCTAAACTTAGGTCGATCGAATTTAGCCGTGTGTACCCAAACTAACGAGTTACTTTAGACCTGAGAAACTTGCCAAGAGCCTACATGACACTTCAAAGTCCTATACTGTTATCAAAACGCATAGAAAATCTGTGCAACACGACCTAGGATATCTCTCCATGAAGCAAGCGATGCGTATCAGCTTTAGATTGAACATGAAATATGTAATATTTGCTATATTTACCGAATACAAATGAAGTTCCGACATTGCGCATGGCACATATGGGTTCACGCCAAAGTATGTCCAATAAAATATTAGGACATAACATGCGTCTAGCTGTACTATATATCCCTGCTTTATATGACGTGAGAAAGGGCCATCAAAGTGAATCGCAGGACAATGAAGATGATAACAATAGGATAGGAGAAACTGAAAACACTGCTAGGCTGAAAATTTATAGACAATGAACGGATTGCCATAATAATGGCGGCAAGATAATAGGCATCAATTTGTACCAATAGGTGACATCGTACCGGCCTTCTGTATCAAACGAGAACTGGAAGATCGTCGGAAGGCCGACACGCTACACACGTAAGCATTGGCGATGGATGCTATGAAGAACATGTAACAAAAATAGATCGTTAAAGCCGAATGATTTTCTTTGTTCAAGCTGTTTTTTTAAAAACATGTTGGTACCGGGTTCTCATCAAGTAAGATGGAATAATATATAGTAATACTGTAATGTACTGTTCACGTAATATAACAATATATTTACGCCATGTCTCAGGTTGATTTGTCCAATGTTCAGGGTGTGTAACCTGGTTGCCAAGCGACGATGTCGCTTCTGTGGGAACTTTGCCTACTCTGTGATTTAGGCATGAATGGATACACTGCGTATTGCCAGCCGTGCCAAGGGGTGCATAATGACAGAACCGGTCGTGAAATTCGAAAAGATGTATGTTGAAACCGCAAAAGGGGAGAAAACGTTTTGCGAAGTATTCTTTCCTACTGAACGCCTAACGCCCCTAACCATAATAATAATAAATAAATAAATGAAGCGATAGTCGTAATCCGGTTTGGGCGATTTAAATTATTAGAGTCTTTCAAAAAGCAGCTTTAAAAATCACAATGTGTAACACTAACATGATCACTTAATGCTTTTGCTCCATAACGAACAGATGCGTCCAGCCTTTATTTGTTGGATAACCACTGCTTCAATACCTACCATAGTATGGATATTATTAGTCTTCAATCTACCATGCTAAATTAAAGATGTGACGAAGACCTCTTGCAAAGACGAGAAGTACTTGAAGAAGGTATTATGTTAGCCGTTCTCTGAGTTCCTCTGTCGTAGAAGGCCCCTTCATCCATGACTGCGACATTGGCTAATACCACTAATTAAGTTTTTCCGAATCAGCAGCTATTCCGTTGAGGGATAAAATAGACGTACCACTCGAATAGAACTCCGAACACCTACATTTGAATTGTGCATTGTACAGCCTCTCGTTTCTTCATCCGGCCGCCAATTCCGAGAAAAATAGATGGTGAGCCCGTCCTTGTTTTGTTTCAGGACGCGCCGCATTAGAAAACAAGGACCCACACACAGAAGGAAGATTCTTTTCGTTGATAAGAGACGCGATCGTTTGTCGGAGCTGCCTATATATAAGCGTCGAAGGAAATGGTTGACTCAATGAAATCCTGAAGTGGTAGGATTTTCTGTTGCTTTCAGCAATCTTCAGCCATGACGAAAGTAAGTCCATTTGTGTCACCCACCCTATCTGTACTCTCAGATTTGCTCGTCTAAATTCGTATCTGTCGATGGGATGATTAGAAAATCCGTATGGTATTTAACTGTTTTCTATATGGTGTTCAATTAGGAAAACAGGTAACACAGAGCGCCTTTACTTATCAGGATAATCGCGCAATAGGTAGCGTTGAAAATTTAACCTTACGCGATCGTACAACATGACGTAACAGCAAGGCCGATGGTTGGCTAACCAGACTCTTGAGTACTGTTGTAAGCTGCTGAGCTCGTGATGCTTTTATATGTAAAGGCCATCCACTAAATCGGCCTGGACGCTTATTAACGGAACTTACTTTTCATAGTAGAAAACTGTAACCGAAGGACAATCGTCACAAGTGCTTCGTTGCTATTATGGCGGAAACTAAGTGGCCATAATTGTCAATATGTTAGAGATTTCTTGCCAGTGGAAAGCTGTCGTCGCTAACGGGATTTCGGTAGTACGTCGTCCGTCCGTCCGTCCGTCCGTCAGTCAGACAATGCAAGATTTGATTTTTTTTTTTCCAGATTCTCTCAGATTGTTTTCGTATTTTTTTTTTATCATAGGCAAACTACTAACAACAACTGGATCAGGCATAAATAAATTGTATTTAAGTGAATAGAAGTAGTTATGAAAATCGATTCTGCCTTATAACGTTCGACTGCGTAGCTTTCGCAGCATTTACGCTTGCTTGTTCAAATCTTGCGATAATTTGGGCCTAGTTATGGTTGCATGTCTAGCGGTCAAATAGTTTTAGGATCTCAATGATTTCATATAAAAAGACACTATATTGTAAGTATCGAATGAATTTGACTGAGATCTTATATTTTAAGCTGAGACATATCTGTGATCAGCTTAAAAATTACACGTCTCTTATACAATCTACACTCGCGCATTTTAGCTATGGGATACCTTTCTGCCTATCGGCGCTTGCATTGTGCGCTCAGTGTGTTACCTATTCTGACTTTTAATCATCCGACAAAAAAAGTGATACGTAAAATTGTGCTTGTAGGATAAAAAGCGTAAAGAATCGTGCTGTTTCTGGTTGTTTTTCCATTGAAGCAGTGTGCTATCAATAGCGAAGTCAGGGGCTCTACAGAGAGTTCTCACGGACATCTCGCATCGAAGGCGTGCGTGATCGTGCTTTTATCTCAGATTTGCTATAGATACACTCGTAAAGATTAGATAAGTTTATTTTCATATTGTTACAAAATTAATTTGGAAATCAGACACGATAACGTCTCGTACCATTTCTTTACAAGATCGTTTTTACATATCGTTCCGGAATCATTCTGATACCAGCCTAGTGATATCCAAGAAGGTCTAATCGAGATCGTTTTATTACGTTTTCTGTGCGAATGTTTGATTTCATACTGTCCAGTGAGTATAATTAAAACTGATCGGATAGTTACCCGTAACTAATGAACCCGGGTCGCCATTTTCTCATGTGTTTTGCAATTGTGGATAAAAATCCCATCGAGCTAGTAGTGTTTATAATAATAATTAGTTGATGATTTATAAGATCAATATTTTTTTCAGAAAATTAGTTATTGAGATCGGCAGGCGATTTTGAGCGCATTGTTGATGAGCGTGGATTCCCTACCGAAGTAGGTACCAACGATCTAACTACTGAGTTGAAAGTCTTGATGGGACATTTTTCAGGTTAGAATTTCACACTGTATCTATTGTTTTACCGTACCCGATTCAGGTATATCTCAATAGTACTCGAACGTAAACTTTTCGCCAGTGGGTTACGCCCATTATCACATGGTGTGCATATGAAGCCTTATGCTAGATATTGATCCGGCCAATCATTCCGGGTCGACTACCGAAGCTAAGCCTTCATCACAAAATTAAGATATCAACCGTTAAGTTGACTTACCGACGATAGTTGTCGTGTATCGCATCACGAATAACGTTACGTTTCATCAAGGTAACACGTTTAGATAGACGGTAATAAATGCCTATTTGGGCGCTTTTTCGATTGTACAAGTAAATTACTTTGTACAGCACCAGGTATACGGGTTGTATTCAATTTTCTATTCAAATATGACTTTATTTAATTAGCCGGTGCTTTCGATTCACCCCGAATTGAACTTTAGGCAATAATCGTTTAGGCTTCATTCATTGACTTCGATAAAAGCGTGAACTCGCAAGTTAGCGGCTTGTGACGAGCTGCACAATAGGAAAGGTCGATAGAAATGTAAACACTGATCGTTCAAGATGCATGTAAGACAGACAGACATTTGAATACTGAGAATGTCAAGCATGTCCCAAGTTTTCAGAAACATAGCGGCTTTCTATTAGCGTACGTTGGTGCTAATTAACTTGGAACTATCCGGATAATGATGATCACTTTCAAAAGTTAAGTGTAAGGTCATCCGTCCTGGACCCATTGGACCGGATGCCGCCATCCATTAATAGGAACGTTGGCTGGCCAGAACGGACGCCTACTAACACAGCAAATAGGAAAATTTTCGAGCATCATCGTCTAGTGTCAGCACTCAGCTTCGAAATGCCCAGTGAAGGCTCTTGGTAAATCCTTGCAGCTCAAAGTATGAGAAAACGAAAACAATACGAATACTAACGAAGTAACTAACTAGCTGATTAACTAATACTAAGTAGAAAATGAGTTATAATAAAATATCGTGTATTTCTGCGTATCTCAGTATAATGCTCTAGTAATTTCAAGATAAGACGACGATTTTCAGTGAAAAAAAAAAACAAAAAAAAACTACAAAATAATATCTCTAAAACAAGATGCACGCTGTCTGCTATTTGTGTTGGCACACTCATCTGTGTAGTAAATTTTCAGATGAATGAATATTTAATCGTATATGGCATATTCAGTGCCCGTGAACGATATTTCTCCTATGTAATAATGGATACTTCTTTTTTCGTGAGAACCCTGTGATCAGATAGGCACTGTTAGCCGGAGTTCGCCGCTACGCGCTTATTATTTCCGTTATTTATTTATTAGGTACGCGAAACGTAATTTAGACGCATCAGTATGCAATACGCATATATACGACGATCCCATTAGACCGATGGCATGATTCCATGTTTCTTCTACAGGAACTCATGTGCCTGGACAAACTAACAGACAGCTAACAACTGACTATACATATTACATACATTGTGTAGTCTGGGTATATAAGGCGAAACGGTAAAAGTGCCATTTTCGATTACCGAACGTAGCAATGATTCCCAAACGTACGGGCCCATCCCATTCGTAATTATTCTACTTTCCAAAGCTAAGCCTGCGTTAGAATGGGTTTAAACGAAATTGACACCAGTCATTTGTTATTTTCCCGCTGAAGTTAGCATGGTGGTACACAAATTTCCAATGCTACCAAATATACAGATACACCCTTGGGACCACCGAAGCCAGGGCAGGCAGCTTTGTGATCGACTTTGCAATGCGAATAAATAGACGGCAAAGTCGCCTGCGGGCGTCACGTACGCGAACGGCCCAGTAGAACCAATATAGACAACAGTCACAAATGCAAAGTAAGCCAAATTTACTCGGTACTATAGCAGCTCATAACAATTGCTCACCTGTCTTCAAAGTCGCGTATGTGTATGTATGACCTGGGTTTAACATATAAAGCAGCTTTTCAACAGACACAGAAGCAGAACGTTCCCCCACCGCTACTACCCCCTACCACTTTATCTCCATTTAAGCAACGTTGCACTTGCGTCTACAGATGCACCATTGTTGGCGTTGTTGCAGTGTCTTGAGCGCGAGAAGGCTCCGTAGTTGCTGTTTTGAATTGGTAACATGATTGGTTCTGCCGTAATTACCCCCCGTTGGGGCATAATGTGTAGTTTAATACGAAACATCGGTACGTCTGATCGGTAGTTCGGCGGATATTTATTTGGCGCCTCGAGTGAGCCAGAGATGGGAAGAGATGCAAGGGTATCGATTGGCTGTCGGACTGGTAGAGCGTCTGTCGACAGCGTCAAAGTCAAGAGGTAAAGGCAAAGATGATCCTACCGGCCCCAGGCGGGCGAACGGCACGCACGTCTAACAGTAAATCGTAATCCGCATATCAAGGTTTTGCTGTCTGTTATTATGAATTTGCTGATACTATTGGCGGCGACTGTAGCTGCGCTGGTTCTTTTGGACATTTTCCAGAAAGTTATCACCGACGGATAGCTGATCGGGTTGATTATGGTGAGTTGAGCTGAGGGGCATCGCTGTCGATTGATCGCCAGTTGGGGGTTACTCCGTATAAAAGGCGCCCAGAGACGGTTTACTGATGTAACAGACAACCGTAAACATGAAACAGGTGTGTGCTCGTGTTTTAATAGAAATAGTAACCTGTACTTTGGTTTCAACATGGTCCATCATAGTCTAACTAACTCGAACGACGCTACAGCTTCGATCATTGGTCCAAATGAAAGTTGTGTTGTCGCCATCTTTTGTCATATTTGAACGTTATATGATTAAAGCCTCCTTTTATTATAGTAGACAAGTTTCGGCATCTGAACCTCCTGTGATACTATTCACGTATGCGCATGTAGATTCACCTTATACGTTACTATCTATACTTTTAGTAATTGTTCTGATTATGCCCTTTGAGAGTAAGTGCTAATAGACGTAATATTGATAACTTGTAACTTTGTTATAATGTAAATTTTCATTTATCTAGGTCGATGTAAAACTTAGCTTACGTTTATAGTGTTGTGGGAGAAGAAGCACAACGCAGAATATGGAGGATATTATTATTCTCAGACTTCGTAAACCATCATGCTATTTTTTAATATATTTTCATTTGTACTTTAGTCGATTCTGAGCACAAAACATTTTCGAGTTTAGCAACGTCATCAGTCCTGGGCACTGTCGACCCTTTTGTAAACAGCTACTTCGGTTTGAATGGAATTTTCAGCTTTTCATCATAGCGGTTCTCGTAGCTGTCGCTGCTGCCCAGATCGATCAGTACGGCGATCTCTCGCAACCTACCCCTTATGAATACGCATACACTGCCGAGTCAGATGAAGGTTCTCATGGGCATTCGGAGAAGTTTGACGGAAACTCTCGCGCTGAGGGTTAGTTCTCTAACGATTTTGAAATCGGCCACAGAAAGCCATTTTTCGTGAGAGAGTGCATGATTTCCGTACATTGATGCACTAGTTTAAAGCAGAATCAGTCAAACCGTTTGCCAAATTATCTTCATTGCGAATATCTCCCACCAAACCTTACGAACTGTTGTTTTTTATCACTGATTATAATGTAAACTTCTGTACAGGCAACTATTTTTTAAAACTCGCTGATGGCCGTGAACGACATGTAACCTACACGGCCGATGAGAGCGGCTTCCACCCGGAAATTCAGACCAACGAACTCGGAACAGAGTCCAAGAACCCCGGCGATGCTGTCTACGTCTCGTCGGCGCCCTCTGGCCCCGACGCTGCTATTCAGGCTTATGGTGGACCTTTCCCTGAGTCTATTGGCCAGGGTCTCCGGCCAGTTCAGGCTCGCGCCGCCGGAGCCGCTTCGGCCGCCGCCGCAGCGGCCTCGTGAACAGTCAATGGCCATGTTCCAATAGTACACAGCACACAGTTAGCGTTAATGGGAAACACGTCGGTTTAATATATCCGTCAGCTGTCACACTTCGCTTAAAGAATGTAGAGGTCTTAAATCAACGTGTTGGATGATCCCGGCGGTTTATCATGACGAAGAACCAAGACTCGATAAATGACTTTGTCTTACCTAAGTCACATTTACTGTGGATGCTTATCAGATTAAATTATCGCCGATTTCAAATGAGTGCGTTTTCTTTTAAACAGTATATATATATGCGTTGGTAGGGTGCTATATTTGGCTATTGGGACAAAAATTGCACATAAACGACCTTAGTTTCAATAGGAGTTAATCGTTCGGATACGGTGACGGCTTCCTTCATTTCTAAAAGCTGATCACTTCCGCACGCTGTCGATGACCTACAGGCGACGTTTGACAAATAAAGAGAAAATATCACTGACAAATTGAATTGACGAATCGGTCCCGTTCTTCAAGCGATCGACACCCGACGTTGAAAGGCTTAACCGTAGTGCATTCTATGTACACATCTCCCATATAGAAAAACATTTACATGGCTTTTTGGGTTTACTGCATTGTGTAGATGCGGCTTCAAACAAAGCCATGCCTGGTACTTATCATGTGTATTGACTGTTTGACGCGTCTCTATATGGGTGTAACCGCATTCAGTATCAGTGAACAGAAATAGACAAGTTGGATTATACCACTAAACACGCAAGCATTACTATATGTCTATAAAGGCGTGTGTCCAATATAGTACACAAGCAGCCATAGAGAGGAAGTTGTTTCGGTGCGCATCGGTGTCAGCTAGGCATAGGAAACTTCTAACAATGTCCAAAGTCCAAAAATCAAGAACAACAACGGTTGCGTGGTAGACTCTGACCCGGTCATTCGCCCAGAACCATCGAACGGACACACACACACCTTCAACACGTTGCTCAGCTATTCAGTAATCGGGTAGAACAATAGTAAGAATCCTTTATAAACGCTTATCTTTCGCAAAGCTGTGAATGTGCTGGACATGTAAAATAGAGCCTGTAATTACTCTATATATATTAGATGTAGTGTAAGTATGCGTACCTTAAACCCAGATGCAGATCGTGACTAGCGAAAGCCTCAGTAGGTCAGCAACCCTAATTAACCAACCATTTTAAAAATGAAAGTGTATATCTTTACCAGCTGTAACAAATAAATAGATTTACTACCCGCATAAAATCAAATACTCGCAACCTATACCGTACGCTACTTGGTTGAGCGATTCACGTTGACCACGCGTATTGATCTGCTGGTTCATCGTACCCTACAAGCTGAACTAAACGACTCAGAGTGGGTTAGCTAGCCAGCTTAGTGTGCAGGCCCTCGAACTCCTTCATTCGACCCGCTCCTTTAAAAGATTGAACCGTTACCCTCGCGTGTGTCCATATGTTCCCTCGGTAACGGCACATTCAGGTCACTGGGATGTTTCATATGTTTATTCTAGCAAAAAAACCTTTATGCATCAAGTCTTAAAGTCTTATGATCTTATACTGAGTGAAATGCCGTGTGATATGTAGTTTGGGACGTTAAATATCGCCAAACGAACGCTCTTTACCAAAATTGCTTTTACTAGCAATTAGGATGATCGACTAGAACCATCTTATCTTATCGATAAGGTGATCCTGCTGCTCGGCAACCTTATCAGGACCACCTTTTCAACTTCAGTTAGCTTTCAGGAAGTTAAATATTACTAGCTCAGTTAAATTTGGATAAAATTAGCCTCTAAAGGAAATCTGAATATCGATTTAACCGTTATAGAGTCTAATGCGGTTTACTGTGGATTCTGCGGCCAGCTGATAGTTTCATTCAAATTGGATGGCTTTGGATCATTTGAAATAGCCATTGCTCCCTTTTGCTGTACATGCTTTGCTGAAGTACGAGCTAACAATATAATTGTCGTATGTGTGTGAATTTTATAAAAATTTATGCTCTTTGTCCACGTATATTGTACGTGTTTATCTAACACAATTATATTCTACACTCATAAAGTTATTTTACTGATACCTTTTAGGTGAAATACCTAGTGAATGTATAGGAAATGTAACACACAGCCTAGTCGAAGGCTGCGTAACGATGTCTGATTATTCAATTGATTAGAAGTTTAACTGGATTAGGCATGACTGCTAGCAACCTACGTATCATAGGCTGGTTAGGTCGGCCGCATGGAGTTCACCCCCCATCCATTTGTATGAGTGAGCTCTGCAGGTGCGAACGGTTGGGTACGTCGACGTGGAGCCGTTGCCTAGGTAACGGACAATCTCACTCTCTTCTGCCTCACAGAGCATATCAACAGAGAAGTGAGCAGGGGGTACGAAGCAATCAGGTAATGGACTACTCGCGCGCGGTCGTTCATGTACGCTGCTACAAGCGTTTACGCTAATGCTTTGATATAGTATAGAGATAGTAGCAGGTTGGAAGGTGCACCGTTGGACTCAGTTCGAGTACTGACGTCGCATTGTTCTACAGGTCGGTTTACAAAGACCTGCCCTGAACGGTACAGGCCTGAAGGAGTGCTAGTAACCATCGCGAAAGTTTAACATGTCTTAGTAGTCTCTTGTATTATGAACGGCTGTACGACATGGACTTGTCGAGTTGCAACGGAGGCCTACCAGACCATCAGCTGTGAAGGCCTTAAATGCGCCTTTCTTCAGAACAGTTCATGAAACAGCGATCGTATTGTGTGGAAGCTCAGCAATCGTAGTACCTCTCTGTGCCATATCTAGCAACGTGCTGAATATTTGAATACCAAGGAAAAATTTGGATGTGACGTTAAACTTCCAAGTTTAACTGACGATCACTTCTGTGAGGCTAATTACATTTCGTTACCGTGAACGAGTTGAAGCTGATGCCAACGTAAAAGTTCGCTAGTTCGAACATCCGCTAACATGAAAATGCACACCAAAACGAACTCATTTATCAACAGCCGATATTCTCAACTTCCGTGAAATACAATAGAAATTGCAAATTATAGCCTAGGCATGTTACCTGTGTCGAATCCGGGCACCCCGAGCCCCATTAAACCCGCCTCGCCAGAATCTAGAACCTGTCCCTCATGCAGAATTTCTATCAGCTTAAGCGGTAAGATGTAGAGAATCGGTGGATTATTTCTCCATAAACGATGTCTCTGTACAACAACCGATTACTAGCCGTTATATGACCTCTCCTCGTCGCAATTAACATCGGCAAAAGACGCCATTACCACTGCATAAACTTTACATTCTTCTGGTTCCTCTAAATTAGGTTTTATGTTTAGCTATGCCTATCGTACAAAGGTGAAATATAGCGTGTAGGTTATCTTTTCTAAATGGTAGAATTTAAAGCAAGGGCGGAACCGTTATCACTATAATGATGTAAGAACGTCGAAAAACTATAGTATTTTTCTACATTGTTACATATGTAGAAACTATTAAAAGTTTAAGTTTAAGGATGTACTGCGATCAATTCGTTTGATTAACTTTAGTAGTTAGTCGTATAGGCGTAGGTGCGATCTTGTACGTACTTCTTGTACTCAAACCAAAGGAATACTTAAACCGGATTGAGCCATCAAGGCCCGTTGCTGTTCTGACTGACCAGATCATGATAGACACACGTAATTCTCTGCATGTCTACCTTAAAGCTCTATTTCGTACCATATGTGTGTCCATCTGTCAAAATTTGCTGTACAACGAAAAACAACAAATTAAGTAAATGAAAATGTTGGTAACGTGTTCTTTTTATCACAGCTACAAACACCGGTGTGCAATGACGAATTTATTTGTGCAGACAACACATTTTGTGAAATTTATTCAACCAATGACTCATCTTCTACATAAATAGATATCTTCTTCTAAACTTTGATATTGAATGGAAAATGTTGGCATACTCACATAGTTCGGGCGATCTGATAGAATAGAGACTGTTAAAAAGAGATTTCGTTAATGGAGCTACAGCTTTGTGCTCTGTTTTATAATCTACATCTATATATATACAAGCTTTTCGGTGGTATAATCACTTCAGCGCTCTTACGCTAAATGTTCGAAGAAGGCTTTCCGAACAATATAATAGAATAGCGCGAGACTTTGGCTAGATCGACATCGGACACAGAATTGGTTGGCCTGTTTCAGTACGCCTCTTCTGTTTGTTTACACTAAGCGCACTGTCTCTATTTAGGCCATGTGACGATGCGAAAATAATACACGCATACCTTCTCTCTAATTATCGTCTCCTTACGGACATAAAACATGGCATAGCCGTACTGGAAGAAAACTCTGTGCTTCTGACCGTTTATGAACTTCAAAGTATTACAACAACAAGAACACAAAGTTGAAAGGTGTCCTAACAAGTAATTTCCAAATGAAGGCCAACGAAAAGATACTGCGTTTATAGAAATAGCTTGATTAAGGAGAGTGTATACAAGGAGAACAACGCCTACTCAAATTATTTACACAAGCGGCGACTTTAACATGCTTCTGAACATCGAATTCACCATGTTCTAATTTATGATCTTTTATCATTTCAGGCAGCCATCAGTCTCGCACAATGTGCCCCTTTTGTGGCGCGTTCTACAATCAGCGTGCTAACTCGGACTTTAGCATGAGAAGGAACAGTTCCGTTGCTAATGGCTACCTGCCCCATATTGTAAGTAGGCGTAAAGTATGTTTACAGTAGCCGCCATACATTAAGTTCCAACAGATACTCCTGAAATTACCAGTATGAACATGATTGCAACCTAGGCGTTCGTACCACAAGCTGACCCCCGTGCTTCGACGTAATGCTTTCACAAAAACTACCGGATATAGTCACGTGTGTCTCATCCAGAAAAAAACTCATGATTGTCCTTGTTAGTTGAATTGGCTCTGAGAATAATGTCGGCGCCCCAGTATAGGTGGGCAGTTTGTTCTCTACCAGCAGATCGCTAACGCCTGTAGTTCAAGCTCTAATTCAGTCGCTGCCCCCTCTCTTAACAATGCTTGAAAGGAAACCAATTGGATCGAGTATCCTCGCACTCCTCGGAACCTCGGAAAACTGCTCGTCGATACGATAATGTGCCACGAATAAATAGAAAATACAGAGGTCGATAAAAAGTACTATTAGGCAGGCGCTAAAGAGGAGTATCACTGTAGTATGGCTTACCCACCCGTATCTAGTCAGAGAAACTGGACGCATAGATAAGCTTTGCTACTTGATTTGCACAAGCCAAAAGAGGTCTTGAGATTTTTATGGAAAATGATGGTAAATACACTATACGACCACGATACTTATAAGCATTTAATGCAAAGACAGGTTTCACGAAATGGATTGCTTACTTTGAAAGCTAACGAAAATCTCTGATGAAGCGGTCTACAGGCATGCCCACATGTAGAGTAAGGCGAGGAGGGTACGCCGTACATGAGAAACCCAGAAGTAAGAGACGACATAAATTAAGTAGGTTAGTCAGGTTGTAGTTACGATTTGGGGCCTACGTTAGGCGCAAGGACAGTATGTATTGATCTGCAGACCGTTGTTGAGGTTCGATCTTAGTTGTTTTTGCCATAGCAATAGAAACGATGAAGGTCACACCATATCGTGCTATGCTGCTCGAACTGTGTTAAGCATCGATCTCGACGTTTCGACGTGAACGAGACAAAATTTATAAGGCTGAATATGAATCGAGTGGTCCTAATATCAATTTGTAATTTTGTAAGCATTGCGGGACCTCAAGTGAAGCGAGAGGCAGCTGCAGGACGTGGGTGGCGTAGAAAAATGTCGCCGGCCATGTGACAAACGTATTGCTTCGTAATAGTGTTTTTCTAGGCAGGGTACTATTTAATATTTACACGGTCAACTCACCTATATAGCACTATGTCTTCATCTGTAATATGGCATAAATATAAGATATTAACATCGAACTCATGTCACATGTTTGTTTTTCTTTTGTATGTAACGTTAGCTGGTTGGCTTTCGTCGAAATAGTTCTAGGTAAAGGTTGTTAGCAATTTACATACGATGATTTTTCATGTTGCGTAATATATAGGTGGAACTCGGGTGTGGTAAACGACCGCGTAAATGCTGCGCCATCTTTAAACGTATCTTCCTAAAGGAAAATCGATTTAATAAAATGATATTCATTGTGGGGTATCTGAGTCGTTCATGAACTAAAGCAATTATGTGCCTAACAAATAATAGTCTAACTGATCCAAATGATGCTAGTCATATAATCTTTCTATAGGCACAACAGGTATGTAATTAATGTGCTATGACGGCACCAAAAGCAATATGGGTCCCGGGATGGGTTTAAAAATTGATCGGCCACCATATCGACGATCGGTCGATGTGATACATTTTCCGTCGCTTGGATGGATCCTTAGCAATTGTTTCCGCTGTGAGTTCGAAGGCAGTAGTTTTCGAAAAGACCATAATGCGATTTGCCGATAACGTTCCTAGGCCAGGTAAGCACTGGCGTATTGTCTATGAGCCTATATTTCATCATTTCCGAAACAATTATAGTACCCTATCTATTTAACTATATAGTCTTATAGATTTTGTCATTCATTAGATAATTCGTCTTCTAAAGCGCGCTCCAAGAGGCCACAATAAAGCACATTTTAAAAATGGATGTGCAGTCGACTAGCATTTTGGCCTTATTTCCAAGCTTACATCTACAAAACCTGATCAAAGATGCTACGACCCACGTCTTTCAGACACAGAATTTGGGCTCTTCTATCATTCGCTAGCGTCTTTCGGTACTCGTGTATGTTTAATGCACTAAAAGGTTCTTTTTTGAGCTAACCTCCGATGGGAAGCAGAGGTTCGTCTATAAGTATCTACGATAGCTCCTCAATGTCGGTAAAAGCATTTTTATAGCTCTACTGGGTGCACTGGAAGATAGCACGAACTATTTTGTAGAGCTCCAAATTTTCCCGCTATAGCTAAGTACATTATCTAAAGAGCTACCTATATCAGTACTTCAGCAAAGAAACTTCATTCGAATAAGAGACTTGTATCATTGACGTAAAGCTCCACGACATCCGGACTGTGACGTCTATTTTAGCGGTGGAACCATAGCTAATAGTTGTTCTTCCACAACTGTTGATTACTTCGTGCGAAAAGTTTTGATTTTTTAATACGGTACAACTTTGTTCACAGGACGATATCACTAGGAGACATTCGTCGATAGGTGAAAGGTTGGGAGCACTACAAGGATATCTTGCTGGTAAAATTTATTAAGCCATATATTTAGATACATAGTTATGTCTAATTTTAGCTGTGAAATTGAGCTGAATATTTTCGGCCGGCAGAAAAATTACTATTTTGATCGAAGGCATCGTGACTAGGTAAAGTTGTTTACGCTCACATACATAGGTTTTAATTTTGTGAATTTTTAAAAGATTACTTAGGTTGGCGCTGAGATTGGCACTTGTAGGAGCCCGCCATGTTATCCTGGATGCGTCTAGGAGCTGGTCAGTTCCTGAAGACTGATTGGCATACATAGCTATGTAGCATAATACGAATGCGTCTACTTGTGCACTACAGGTTTGATCCTACGAACAAGTCACGAAAACCAGTTCTATCTGCCTCCAGTGGATAAAGACAGGGACGCTAAGGACAACGCTGATGCCGGTCAACTCACTCCTGGCAGTTCAGACGACGATTCACTTGACTATCCTGTCCGGAACATGGACATTGAGTCATACCAGTAAGTGTTACTCAGGGCGTCGATTTCTCTGTTGTACGTTTGTTTCATAAGGGAGTATTGGAAGATATTCTTAACTATCTTCGTAATGAAACGCTACAATATCGCAATATTCCCCTACGATATCTGATTACATTCTTATCATACAAATTATCTGGAAAAGCCCCTTATCGACATGTTGATTGCCCAATGTAAACGAGTAGCCGTCTGCATAACAAAACCTAATCCAGTTGGCAACTAGATTGGATCGAGGGCACGACGATTAAGGGTTGGTTGATCACAGCAAAAGAGCATCAGCGGAAATCGATACTTTTTAGTTTACTGATTTCTGATCCTGATGCCGGAATCTTTAGCGTTTCAGGGTTGTATGGGATAGATTGTCTTTCCACTGCCGGCTAGGCCATCTCTTGAACTATGTGGTCGTGTATATATACGTATGTACATATACGTCATTTAAGATACACATAGAGCTAGTGTCGTCACGTAACTAGCATAGCTATGCTATAGCCGTGTAATGGCGGAATTATTCACGCGCTGTACTGACTAGGGTGTCTTGAATCTGCTAGTTTGGCAGCGTATTTGACAGACCATTGTGTTGAAGCAAATAGATTCAAAGAATTGTCTTTTTTTTCACTTACATTTGTAATGAATCCTTCTTAAACCGGAAATCTACATGCTGGTGAAAAAAAAATGGCCGAGAAATGATAAGCGATGATCAGATATTGTTGTGTGAAGGTGACACATTTATGTTTCTAACAGTTAGGATAGTTCTATTAGGACAACTACAGTTATTTCTGACTGGTACGCAGCTGTAAAATTCTGAGAAGTAATGTTTAATTGGAATAACTTCAACGGGTTGATGGAAGGCTGATTTTACAGAAACGGCAGCGATCTTGTTCGGTTGTTTTTCGCCAGCCTGTATATTCGTTGCGATTGGCACGTTTTCTACTTTTCCCAAAACATCTATCTCTTGATAGTTAAGTCCCAAAGCGACGTTGGGGTCGCGTTGCGGTCACCGAAGTACTAAGTGAAGCAGCAATGCCGCTAGATCGATATCTATTATGTCGAATCTATGGCAGAACATGTAACAACAAATATGGCTGTTCCAAACGAGGTACATACGTATATAGCATGTAAGTACGATTGCTTCCTGAGTAACGAACGTTTTAGCTATGTACGTGCACCTCAGCCGCTACCAAAAAAACAAACACTAAATGGAGCACGGGTACGCAGTAGTGACCTGAGACGTATGTCATAATTGCAAATTGAACGTTTTTGGTATTTTGCCCTCATGTAGACAATTCTCCCTGCGTCATGTAGACAACCCAACGTACAACTATCGGGCACAGGTTAACCTTTATCTAGCAAAAACATGTTGAGATTATATAGCTATTTGTGACAAAAGTATAATTTTTACTTCTCACGAGTAAATGTTGTAATTACAATGAAAACATAATGCATATATCGTAGAAAAAAGATCTTTCGATCATCTTCTGTATAGCATGGAGACTGGTAAATAGGCAAAGTTCGACTAGAGCATGGTAAGGTAGCAACAGATAGAACGTAGAAGGTAACAATAGTGATGTCAAAACACGATGTAGCATTCAGTGTAACAAAAATTGTACTCAGTAACACTATCGTTAGTTTGTAATAGGGTCAGCACGCTAGAAGTAATAGGGGCGCTTAGCGTAAACGATGGCGAGGTTCACACCACCCAAAGAATTTGTCTATTGCTCGATGTTATGTTACTATCAATGACACAAAACTGGGAGTACTTCATAAAAAATCCTTGCGTTTATCGCGAAAGTTATGATGACGCTTGAACGTGTTTGACGTATGAACGTAACAAACCTTTTTGTGATATATTTAACTAAACAACGGCTAAGCTTACGGATTTTCATGTTGAACTGTTTACAAGAGCTCGAGCATGATCATTATTCTAGGACTCTATTAGAGGACTACAAAACGAAGGACAACTTCACGCCTCTTCAGGAGTTCTTGGAGCAGACGTTTTGTTGTTTCGTCGAAATGTCCTCTGTGTTTAAGAAGGACCCTAAGCAAGAAAATGCGCGTCCTGAAGATCCGGACATCAAGACCGAACTTCTTTTTGAGGTTTATGATAGCCTCGACAGTTTGGTATGTATAACTGTCCATTAACAAAAGCTGTTCTATCAAAAATTAATTGAAATCGAAATTTTTAAATAGAAAGAAGCCTTTTGAAGGCTCATTGTCAAGTTTCAGCTCAATAGAGGCTATTGATTTTAAAGCGGCTTCTAAAGGATCCATATTAATGCATATACAAGACATCAAGCGTTGTCCCGATAGTGAGAATATTGAAAAAATATTTTTAGGTAATCTAGCCTTTAAATGATTTTGTAATTTATGTATTTTGCTATATATAACAAGTGAAGTCGATTTTTCTGTACTCTTCACAGCCTGGTTTCATCACGAAGAGCATTTTGAAGGCAATTATTAATTCACTACTGGAATTAGACGTTCGACTTATGGCAAAGGATGACGTGCGGTCACTTTATATGCTCCTACTCAATCCAATCTTCGCCACTCAGGTGTATTGTTCTAACAACCATTCCAGACGGCAGGAAATTTTCATGAAATTAAGGAACGTCTTATAGGAAGATTATTCTAGTTTAACATACGATCTCCCTCTGTTTGCCAGGCATCATATACGGTATTTGCTCACTTGATACACAGGGTTGTATCTCTTCCGAGCCCAGATCATCAGCTGCTTCTACATTGGTTTACCAGGTGAATAGGGTAGACGTATTTAGTGATCAATGATTGAAGTGTCTGAACTGTCATGTTACACATATGGTTCGATGGTCGTTATAGAAGCAGGACCAAATCAACGTATCAGAACTGTCGGATTTACTTATTTTATTTACTATAAAAGCTCTGTTCAGTAACTTCTCAATTAGTCGGACTCTACTTATGATTATGATTTCAAGTACGCGTTGGACGTATCCCGCTTCACCTTTTACGCATTTGTCCCGGAAATTTTATGGCTTCTGGATAGCCATATATTTACTACCTGTATATTACCATAGATTGTTTTCTACCTATGATTTCTTGAAGTAAATCGATAATGAGACATGCTTGCCTACCACTTGCTTTTTTTAAAATAGGACTTAGATCGGAAGAACAAGCTGGTTAATGCTAACGTTAGATATTCTCTCGCGCAATATGGCGATGAAGTCTTTCACTTTCATCAAGTGACAAGACTGCGCGCTTTCGACTGCCATTCAGAACGGTCTGCAGGTGTTCTGAGAAACTCGAGGTGATTGGTTGTGTTTATTGCTACTGTAGCAGATGCCCCCCGACTCTCTTCCGCAAGCATTGCTATCACCTTCTGTCCAAACCTATTCAGCTTGCCGTCAACGTTTATTACGACCGTACACTGCAGGCGGATTCTTTGTTGATTTAAGTTGCGCAAATTGCACGTAAAACAGATCAGACGCATTTCGAACTGACCTGAACATTGCTCAAGGGGTGTCTATTTTTACTCAGTATTCTTAATATTTATTTGAGTTACAGTTCTGCTGAAATGCCGATCTTGACCGACAGAGAGAGAGAGAGAGAGAGAGAGAGAGAGAGAGTAAACTCTAGTTTCGTCAAAAGCCCCTTCGATTAAAACAACACGCTCTTATCCGTCGGGGCCCGATATCTGGTCGCCTCCTTACTGACCTTTTACACTCTAATCTTCGTTTTTAAAACGTGTGTATCATTCACGTACCTATATGCCTAAGGCCTCATTTTTACAAATTTTCGATGAATTTCTGCAGAGCTGTGACTTTCTAAAGGCAAAAACTTAACCGTTGAATGTTGATTCTCGAGACTAGGAAATGTTTTTCCTTCTGGGCTTATCTTTTCTCGCGTAACGTCGTTTCTACTGACTAGTTTCTGGTAGACCAACTAAATTTCGTGTGCCGGTGGGCCTATAGGCTGAAAGTTATTTAATTCCGAAGTGAGTCGGATTTGCTTGTAGTAGCCTAACATACGTATATACCTTTAGTACGCATTAACTTCCGTTAATGAAGGCGAACAATTTCTTATTATATTCTGTTAGGACGGATGCATCTCGAACACGCGAGCTCGTTAAACGACTTCTACAGTTTATCACCATTAGGGAATTTCCCCCGGCCAACGGCCATCGTCTTCCGTCGATTAATAAAAGCCGGTGGTGGATACCGTGCGCCACGAGGTTAGATTACACAAGCCGTTTTTTCGTTATGAATTTACGTATCATAGTAATCTATTAACCATCTTAGGGCGCTGTCTTACGATACACGACAGATTAACTTATATCGATCAGTCGAGGCAGTAGATGTCGTAAATTAACTTCGATGAGCTACACTGACATCATTGTTTACCGCCATCAGCTTGGTTGTGTATTCTGTTGTCAACATTTTGTCTATCGAATCACCCAAGGGGCTCACTACTGGCAGATAGTAAATGGTACGAACCATAGACTTGCCGGACCGAACCAGCGCCCTGGCCATGTGTCAAGCAAAGGAAACAAGTTAGTTTCCCAGGCCCCGTTGCGAATTAGCCTTAACACAGAAAAACAGGACACGATACAGACGCGACATCTCCTCTGGCGTCGCAAATAATAGGCCACCAATGAATGTCTTATTACTTTAGTAATTTCATTTTCATATTCTATTTAGTAATTTTCAGACTCTTATTATTTTAGGGTGTTGGCTCTGTTGAACGCGGCTAATAATAGGGTATCGCCTCCGCTGCTCGAGTACGCTGAATTCTACAACTCTGCTTTGGACCACATCAATCTTATGGCAGAGTATTACCGTTGGCAGACTCCCGAAAAAAGTAACAAGTACGTCTTAGAAATAGGCCTGCGAATAAGTGGGCTGCTTGCCTGTGATTTTCACTTGGCAAACACTCCCAAAAAAGTAACTTCGCCTGCCAAAAGTATGTGTAATTATCTCTAAATCTAACTAAATCATTAACTCTTTTCAGATTTTCCTACTGCCAGTATCCTTTCATATTGAGCATCGTTGCGAAAAAGTTTATCCTTCAAAGAGACTCCGAGCAACAGATGATCCTTAATGCAAGGGTAGTATATAAGCTCCAATGTACCTCCGTCATTCGTGATCCAACAAAATCTTTCGGATCCGGAATAACTTAGTTTTTGTGGATGTGAGCTAGTTGATGGATTAAGGGCTAGTCTCCCCTAAGTTATACTGCCGGAGAGGTCTAGCTACTCACAATTTTTACGAGTATTTCCATGTGGCCAGCGCAGTACTCCGCTTATATTCGTGTGCTGTTTCGATCTGAGCGGTCTAATGATTCAGTCTATTACTATATTTGTACTTAAATAGATGTGTATATATATATATATATATATATATATATATGCATACACGCAGTCCACTATGTGTATATGTTTATAAAGGGTTGCAATTTAGAATGACAAGTTCGTTAAAGCTGCAGCGAGAAGATTTTTTTGTCGGAAAAAGCTTCAGAGCAAAGCCGCTATAATCCTAAACAGTTCCATAGTGTAATATTTAGTATGTGGATATTTGATTAATTCTCTTTTTATCGGCTTATGCAGCGTTCGTTGTTAAATCGTGCTTTACAACATCAAGTTCCTGACATTGACGTCTTCTTCCTTAACCTTAATATCCGTCGAGCGCATTTGGTATCCGATTCACTTAATGAGATCGCGCGGAAGCAAGCCGACCTCAAAAAGAAGCTCAAAGTCACCTTTGTTGGTGAACCAGGTAATCCACTATGCTGATGAAAGTGAAGTGTTCACTTTGTCCTCAAGTTAATTCGGTACCTTCGGTACTTTACGATTCGGTATTTTACGATGTACGAATCTAGAAGTAAATACAGATATTAATAGCGACTGATTTCCTTCATAGGTCTCGACATGGGAGGCCTGACAAAAGAATGGTTCTTGTTGCTGATCAAGCGAATATTCAGTTCGGACTACGGTATGTTTGTATATCATAATAAAGCCCGCTGCTACTGGTTTAGTACAGTGAAAATCGGTAACCTACGTGAGTATAATCTCATTGGAGTTCTGATGGGTCTGGCCGTATACAACTCGATCATCCTCGACCTCAACTTCCCCACTGCCTGCTACAAAAAGCTGCTTAGCCCGCCTGTGGTCCCAGCCAACGTAGATACAACCAATGTAGGCAACTGCGAGCTCACACTAGATGATCTGTCGGAAATCATGCCGGTATGCAAGCCCACATCGTATCTATTCACAGTATGTAGATCATAGCCCTCTGCCCCATCCCGATGGGATTGTAGTCTAGCGGGCAACTCTTTTCGGTTCTGTATTCACGGTTCCACATCACAATTACATTTATGGAAGGATTCTATCGGGGACCGACCCAACGTCTTTCATTTGTTCACTCGGAGATTCATGTATAAATGAAGGATTTTCTCTGTTCTGTGATATCGTTTACGCAGGATGTCGTACTTGGGCTTCGAGAACTGCTAGCGTATGAGGGTAACGTGGAAGAGGACTTCTTGATGCACTTCGAGGCGTCTGTTGATGAGTTCGGTGAGGTAAAAACTCACATCCTTAAGGAAGGTGGCGAACAGATCGCTGTCACAAACGAAAATCGTCAAGGTATATGATATAATTAATAATACAGATACTGCACGTAGAACGAAACCCTGCGAAGCCCTAATATTATTGCCGATTGCTTATCTGAAGATTTTACGAGTCCCTATGACATTTTCGTAAGACCGATGCCTAATAGCTTTTCAATGCAGTGAAGTTAGGAATCTTTGGGAATGACAAAATCAACTTAGGAAACAGGGTAGCAAGTCAACGTTTGTAGTAGCGTAGTAGGTTAACAATTGAATGAAACGGTCCGACAAACGCGACTAGTTGAGATTTTGCCATTTCATGTTCTCAGCTTTGTTTGCTTTTCGTCTATTTCATTTCTCCAGAATATGTGGATCTTTATATAAATCTTATCCTAAACGAGGCGATCAGCCAGCCGTTCAAAGCATTTTATCTTGGATTTCACAGTGTCTGTGCATCTAACGCACTCATCGTAAGTATGTTCCTGCATCTTGCAGTTATCTGTATGCATATGTTTATTCGTACAGACAAAAAACACTTTAAACTATGCGTTTCTGTGTCTGCAGGCGTTCAACACAAAGTAACTCTATGATTTGCTTTTAAATCAAATTGCATAGATTCCTTAGAGGGAAAACCAATGTGGTCTATAGGCTATCACCAGGCTCAGGATAGCTGAAACGTTGCTGAGGTGCTGGAAACAGGCCGGCCGGCCAGCCAGCCAGCTGTCTGATGCACTTATGCCTAACGGCCATAGTACGGGACGTAAAGCTCGAAACGGAAAGATTCAGTTGACTGAAACTATGTTCTAATCAGATTGCATATAATACCTGTCAATTACTTTAGATGCTTCGTCCAGAAGAGGTGGAGTTACTCGTGTGTGGATGGCCCAAACTCGATTTAGAAGCTCTCCGCAAAGTGACCGTCTATGACGGCTTTAAGCCCGATGACCCATTAGTTAATCAATTATGGACGCTGATCGACAACTTTACGGTCCATTTGCAACAACAGTTCTTACGTTTCTGCACGGGCTCCGATCGAGTTCCCGTCGGAGGAATGTCTGAGATGACTTTCAAGATCAGCGCGATTAATCACAGCACGGATATGCAAGTATCCTGCTCCTTCTTTCTCAGGATGTTTTATTATGCTTCCTGTCTAAGTCGCTAATAGTTTTATAATATATTCAAAATATTCCCCATACTGACAATCTAAGAAAGCTGATAGTAAACGGATTCCAAGTTCACTTAATAGCAACAAACCTCTTTATGTGCTAGTCATTAACAGTGTAGAGACCCATAATTCACTCGTTTTTTATTAGATTCACTTGAGCGCAACGTGTTCACCGCTATGTATTTTTTGTTTTGTTTTTTTTTTGTTTTGTAAACACTATAGGCTACCAATTTCACATACTTGTTTCAACCATCTTTGTTTGCCGCGTTATCCAGACGAAGAGACGCTGAAAGAGAAGCTGATAACCGCTATCTCCAACGCCGAGGGATTTGGTCTTGAATAAAATTGAAGGCAGAAACGATTTTCTGTCTCCAAAGCTATTGAATTAGATGACAGTAGATCAGATTCACGTTTTGGGTTATCGATTTGTCTAACTTAAGCCGAACAGAGCTGATTTGTGAGCAGTCGGATAAAAATATTTATACCGAACCCACTAAAATGATAAATATTATCTATATTTTATCAGTTTTATAGTTACTAAAATAGATATTTCAATAACGTCTTTCTTATGCGCTAGAAGTGTCGCGTTTTTATGACCATACTGATTATTATTGCAGCCGCTATTTACGTTTACACTTCCAACACGGAACTTGATTAGCGATTTTAAAATAGTACCCATCTGTCAAGCGATATTTTTAGGTGAACGGAATCAAAACGTGAGTCCATGTTCGCTAGAAAGCTCTAAAATGTCAAGAGCTTAGAAAGATACATAACGTTTTAACAAAAAAACGAAAAAACAACGACCCAATTGGCAATTGAGATTCTATTTTCTTCATCATTGTTTTGTATCTGCAGGCTAGGCGTATGAAAGTCGACCTTTTGAGCCGTTGAGTTTTCGAGGCCTTCAAATCTAGGCCCTATCAGCGATTTTATATACATATAAAAGTAGCGGAATAGACCAGTTCCGCCGACTATCTCTCAACTAAGCCTTTCGCTAGAAACGCATTTGGTTCACCAGTAGCAAGTACAGTGTATCTATTTTGTTGCTTCTATTTGTCCAAAATAGTTATACAAGATCGCCTCAAATCGTATGAAAGGTCAAACAAATAGATCGATCGTCATTTCTGCTTTAAAACGATGCAACCGTTCCTGCGAAACCGTTACCCTTATGAACGACAAGCATAGGATACTCTCACAACATGTTTTTATCTTCAGATTTAGAGGGAACTTTACTCATTGTGATATATGAATATATATTTGAGTATATTTATTGATATTTTTATCTTTTATATTTATGTCACCAGCACTACGAGGACCGGAAGATACCCAAATAGGATAGCTACGATATTCCGCTTAGAAGTCAATAGTAATTCAACATTTTCGACATGAATGTTGGTATGATTAAAAATGTAGCTATAGAAAGAAGATGTAGACGAGGAGTTGCCTTCATCCGCAACGATGAGCATATATTTTCATAGACATACGCCCTTCATATCGTTTTCACGCATTACTATTCAACTCTCACCCAACATAGGTCTGAAGCCCAGTTCGGCAGACACCCTATAGCGTTTACTACGCTAAAATAAACTTGCTATAATGAGGTCATTGTGCTACTCGCATAGTGTAACATAAACTGGGCAGCGGTAACTGATGGGTAACTTTCGTGGTGTCTATATACGTGTGTACGCTACGCTCAACTTTGTGGGTATATCAAGTGGCTTATACCAGATTGTCAATGTCGTTATCATTAAGATAATAAAGAATATCACTTACTTGTAAATTCTAGCAGCGCCTGGTTATTTCTGGTCAATATTGCGCTAATAAAATCCATCTAGCAGAAAAAATTTTCTAAATTTTTTCTTTTTGTTGTTGTACTAGATCAGTAAAAACAACGCTTGATTTTCATGTACATGTATTGGTTAGGTTGCTTGATTTTATACAGACAGTTTTTCAACGCTGGAAAAGCCGAAGGGCCGATGTGGTCGACTTGTTGACGTATCGTAACTGGTAAACGATACCTCTTCTCGCCTAACCGCGTAATCCATCCTGTGACAGGTCGATACCACGTAATAGTAAAAGTAAGTAAAAAAAAAAGTATAGTAATTAGTAAAAGTCACCCAATTATCTTTCGCCACGAATCACGTAAAAGTTTGAGCGTTAGACATAAATAGCATTTCAGAGACACCCTTACCTGTACAAGGGTAATATAGGTATAGAAATGGGTTATTGCAATACTGTATAAATTTGCTAGAGGGTTTTCGTACAAACGCAATTTTCATCCCAGTATCACTATTGTAACCCGTTTTCTCACCAAGCTATCCTTGCTGAGGCAATGATCATTTGATTGATAACCGAATTTCAGGTTGTACCTTAATATGTCCTTTTCGCAACAAATTATTCCTTATACCTTAATCGGAATTTGGCTTTCTTTGCTCCAGTGCATTATTACCGCTTAATATAATGCTTATTTCCGTCATATCGATATTAGTATAGAAAAATAGCTTGCGGGACCTAATGTTAAAATATTCTTGACTTTGGTGTTTAGAGATCCTTTCAGTCCCTCAACGAAAATTATAGACATACAGTTGTTTTAAATTCGGGTTCAGTGTCCCGCGTCACATAATTAGTCTATACTGATTGAAAGCCTATGCGCATATGCTGTATAATCACTAAGAGGGAACGTAGAAACGATCATGGGCGCATGCGGTTTGCAAATCCCAATATGTGCTACGTTGGCACAATAATTATCTCACTTTAGAAAAGGCCAACCACTTACCATTAATGTAAAACATCTAAGAATCAGTTTTCGTTCGGTGTTTGCGTTGGTTTTGTTAACAGTTCGAGGGCCCGTCGAACACGTTCGGTTCCGCAACATGCTGCGCGGTGCGCAGTATAATCCTGGGCTGATTTGGCCTTGCTTTTAGGGCAGTGGCCTTGACGACAACGAGCACCCAGCTCGACAACGTGGAGGGTGCATAAAGCCAAATTCAGCATTGCTTAAGTAGTTCAATGTACTCTTAACGCGTACCTCAATTTTTCCAGAACGAGAGACTCACTTCGTAGATGACGCTAGAACCGATCGAACGACCATCGCCCTTCTCCGCATCTGGCATTCGATACGATGCGGCGCGATAACCAATATCTGATCTGAAACGTCGCTCGAGAAAATTCATTTGCTGGGAGTTTGTAGCTCGACTAGAACCGACTAGCTTTTCCACTGCGTGACGGAACAGTCCGTCCCAACCGAGGAGCGACGCTCCAATGAGAGCAAAGTTACGTAACGACCACTTAAGCGTAAGAGAAAGTCGGTTTTCCAAGGCGCAGTCGTAGTTCTCTGTGCTGACATTCCGGCTGAGAAGCGTCCATAAGGACGAGCAGTTGTATTAGTTGAGTGGAATGTTTTCTCGGATCCCTTAAACGTGTGTCTTGTTTTAGCTATACAGATCACTAATGAAAGGCCGGTTGAATCCGAAGTAGACATCTTTTCATAATTTATTGACCGCCATTACGTGACCGACCTATTCAGATATTAGTCTACTAGGTGTAAAAAAGACCAAATATGCGTAAAACTGCCTTTGATGATTCATTGTGAATATCTTCTACGGCATCCAACGGGCGCTGCTGCTTCAAGCCCCACCAACGACACGTACTACACAGCCACTTGTCTTCTTCACAAACGCATGCACGCCTAAAAAAAAGCTGACCTTATGTGGGAACAACTCGTGCCCCGAGAGTGGCAGGGTTCGTTTGGGTTTAATTTCGGAGTGCCAAAAATGCCTTCTGATGCAATCTGGCTTGTAATTTATGAAGCACTAATTAGACCCCTATGGCAGTGATAAGCGAATCCCAGCGAGTCCGCAAAGTACCAGTGATATATCAGCCAATCTCAAGGCTGTCGACGCACGATTGCCCCTGGAACCTTTGGATTCTGCTCGCCCAAGCTGGCATTGGGCCATTCGTAAAATATCACATCATCTCTGTTCAACGATAGAGTTTACCAGCGCTTGTCACGCTACGGTAGCAGCGGGATGATGCGTGTTAGAAGAAGAGGCTGGCAAAACATTCGATTGGAAGTCCATAGGTTTAGAGCAACTTTATCTTCAACACATAGATAGGAGCTTTCAGCTAGCACATTCAGTTAGTCTTCCAGTCATCGCTGCCGCCTGCGACCTAATCGACGTAAGATCATGTCGCAGCAGTGCGACTAGTCGTTGAGGCATAGGACCATGGGATCTGACGAGCCGACTGATGACGGCACTGGACGTAAAACTCGAACCAAAACCGTAAGGCCAAGTGTCTGACATCAAGGTTTAATGCACCATAAGACCAGCATCTCATCGCCGGCTGTACGTTGTCGAGTTGTTGTTTGACTTATATCTATATACGCGAAAAATAGAACGACCATACAATAGATTCAATATAAACATTTTTCGTTCTCGACTTGACTGCCTCCGAATGCTCGCGGCCGTGTAGAGCTCGCTAGACGCTAGCTACCATCGGGCTAAAATATTAATGATGTGAAACTAGTTTCACCGACTATTCGTAATAATTGCAGTGTCACAAGACAATTGGAGTTCCAACAAAATGGTCTGGCTCTGTTTTCTCGATTGACGTCCCCCGCCATAAATACGAGCTAGCCTTAAGCAATCCTAAAAAGAAGCTAAATCCGGCGCTAGCGTAAACAAGTCCAATCGAATAAAATTATATTTTATAAGATGTCAATTTACTTTGCGAGGGAATGCCTTCGAAGCACCAGCGAATTAGTGGTAATATCGAAAAACTCGATGGAGAGTCAGGCAACAACAGTCGCACGGGAAAGAACAACAAAGCAGCAAGACTGCTTCAAGGTGAGCCAATATAGTATCGTGAAGCCGCACCGTCGATTTGCCAGCAAATATGTGCTTTTCTTTTTTCCTGGATAGCATAAGGTTGTACGGGAAGAACCACAATGCAGGACTTTTGCCAGTATGTCTGAAGCTAGCATGGCCACTTGGTGTTCCGTGTCCATGCATTTAGGTATTAGGAAACTTAGGCTTAGGGGAGGTGACCTGCCCGTGTAGCATTGCCTTCAAACAGCCCCTAGCAATTATTATTATTATTATTACGAAGCAGTATTTCCTCATCGTTTGAATTCGGAATTAACCAGTTACAAAAGGTATCAATCTGAACTAGCGCTGCCTGATATGGAACCCCATTTACGATTACTCTTATCTAGTTACACAGCGCCAACGAGCAACATAAGTAATAGAATTTTTGCTGCATACGGGCTAAAGCACAGTCGAGGTGGTCGCTAATCGAGGCTGGTTCGGTTACGGGTGGGGCTGTAAGGAAAAGGTAAGGGTCGCTAATGGGCTAGATAAATTGGGGCGCTTCAGTTATGATTTGCCGTTGGCGTTCCGTCAAGTCGCACAAAACACAAGCAATTCTATGCAGAACTAATATCGTTGCCGCATTGTTAAGTTCGAGTACAGGCCGACCGATAGCGGCATGACCACAGAGTCCAGTCGCGCATCAATGGACGAAGACGCTAGATCTCCGATCCGAAAGGTGCGCATCACACCCGGAAAAAGCGAGACCAACGAGCTAGCACAGGGCTGTTTCGAAGATCTGTGGAAGCATATGGGTGGAAATCTGACGCTAGAAGAAACGCGCAGGTAGGTAGACTGTGACTTTGGCCATTCAACACCCTAATAACTGACTTTTGATTAGATGATGGTTGAGGATATCGAGTGCGGGTACTGGCGATTCGGTATATGGCAAGCTCTCTTCCTTCCCATTTTTCCAAAGAGATTTTTCCAAGGGAGCCTATGTTAGCGAAGGCTGATCCTGCGGAGGACAACATTACGAAGCTCAACATTACGAAGCTCCGCCGTACTACTAATAAAACTATACGTTCTTCTACAAGGCCGAGAACTCTCAGCATTTTTACTAGGTGATATAGTCTTCACCGGCGTGTTGGGGCCACTTGTAGTAAGTTCCTCACCTCCCAGGCGGTAGTGGCCTAGCCGCGTATCTAGTAGCTTTTGAGTAACCTTCAACGGACAAAAGCTATTAAATCATTGAAGGGCGAAATAAATAGGCTTGCTGACAAAAATCGCAGCCGTTTGTGTTTACTGGCGGTGGATTACTGACAAAAATCGCAGCCGTTTGTGTTTACTGGCGGTGCATTATTGGCAAATTTCATAGCAGAGTGTTTAGAAGGGAAACATGAAGTACATACGTATGTCCCAAACCTGCGTTAATGATTGTACTGCTGCATATTTTAAATGTGCGAAGTTCAGTGACAATTAACTGGGCACACAATTAGCAGGTGCCGAAAGGAACCTGTAGAGGGATCTGCGTAGTAATTATTGTGCTCGTATGAGTTTACTTCAGTATCTTCACTTTGGTTCTCATGAACCATCTCACTTACGCATGCGCTCCATAAACGAACAAAGCAGGGAAAATCCCGTGTGTATACTTACTGGCACCACTACTCTGTGCTATATAAGTAAGACATGAGTAAACCTGCCTCAATGAAATTCCCATAGAGATCTAATTAGAGCTGGCAATTGGCCTTGATTTAAGGTACTACGATCTCATGGCCTGTCATTTCGACGAGGAGATGGCTGACCAGCAATACAACGGACCTCAAATAATTCTTGAGAAGCTGACTGACTTGGGTGTTACGAAGGTAAGTGATGACGTTTTTCTTTACAAGAGTTTTTACAGGTAACAATTGGCTAGATCTTTTTTGTGTATTCCAGATTCAGGCACTTTATAACCTAGCGACTGGTTCAACCTACAGCGCCAGCTCTGTTCACCAGAAATGGCCCACTAAGCAAACGTATTTAACAGCGTTCAGTTGAGAAAGAACGCTCACACGCGTTAGGTCTGACAATAGGTCGAGGCCAAATACGCCCCAGTACCTCGGAAGGAGCCAGCTATCAGATGGTTCGATTAGCCTTTGTTCAAATACTCAGATCAGGTTATCGATATATTTCCTGTGGCCTCACCTTGACTAGGCATAGGTCGCCACCTTTAGGGTGGGTCACCATCCTTTGAAGAAGAAACATAACTTCGATTCCGCTCTGAAGCATGATAGTATTTCTAAACTAACTTCGATTCCGCTCTGAAGCATGATAGTATTTCTAAACTTTAGTGTACACGTTTTCTGGAACTTGTGACAACGTTCCAACGCTCATCAACAAAATTTGAAATGGTGGTGACAGTAGAACGTGGAGCATGAAGAATCGCCAGAATCTTGCATTTGGGTTCTGTTGTTTACCTAACCCAACATAAGGCTCTCGGGAAACTTAGTCAAACTTTTCATTTATATATTTAAATTATGATCGTTTAGGTATTTCATTTATACCAGCTACAGAATAATCAGCCGGTGCGGCCCTTACGAGTAACAAGACGTTCTATTACCATATCTGATATGAAGTTGATGTTGTGAATTTTTAGGAAGCCCGCATTTTGGACATCGGCTGTGGCACTGGCTTACTTGGGAAGGCGATGTCGAACGAAGGTTTCGCTTGGATTGATGGGATCGATATGAGCGAAGAGATGTTACGCCAAGCAGAAAAAAAAGCTGTGTATACTAAAACCACCCTTTTAGCGATCGAGCCAGCGACTGATCTCACGCCCCTGGGTGACGTCCAGTATGACGCTATTTGTATGCTTTCGTCTTTCCAGCCAGGGCACGTCAGCCCTCTGGCTCTTGATGGTCTAATCGCGCTCCTCAAACCTGGTGGCCGGGTAATTTGGGTTCGATCGTCTTCGATTCCCGCCAAGCATATGACCGGACCCTTTCAAAAGGAAGAGTGGGAAAAAATTAAAAATGACCTTGCAGCGAAAGGTCTCAAAGCTGAGGACGAGGGAACTGTGGAGAGGTTCAATCGAGATAAACCCGGCGTGTTTGGGATTTTCACTAAATACAAGTGAAACACGCTTAGCGATGCGCAGTGGAACAAGCTACTGTGACGGTTTTCACAACGATACCCCGGAAGTGTTTGGTTACTCGGAGTTAGCTATGCGAGCGTTATGCAGAAAAAAGCTGGACTATCAAGGAGTTGACAAATAAACGAAGTCTTATTTTTCACGTGGACAGCGTCGTGTTACGTTATGTTGTGTACGAAGTTCCTAAAACAACATCCAACGCGTACGGCTAAACAACGGAAGATGCTGCTTCAGAGTGTTATCCGAACCTGATTATGGCTAAATCAGATCTATATTAATGTGTGTTAATCCACCACTGGTGTTATTATTGTAGTAGAATTAAAACACATATTTTAGCCATCAATCAGCCAGTAAACCAATATAAAAATCAGAAGCCTTGCTTCGTTAAAAAAAAGTCGTGAATTATTCATCGTATTGGGTTGTGACGGTCTCACTGAGCAGCTGCCTACACGGTCCAAGCACAGTCGTTAAGTAATGACGATTGCCGCAATATTGTGATAAAACAAAGTTTAAAAAAGTAGATGGCGGGTTTATTTAACTAATATATGCTTTATAGTTTTAGTCACCGAAATAACAATTGGGTATTTAGAGTGTAGAAACTTAAATCACCGCGGCTGAATCACCACAACGGTTTAACGCTCACAACTGTAACACCGTCTTTTGGACCATGAGCCACCGAGGTCGTCCTGCCACCTGGCGGCCAAGTTACGCGCGATTCGTGAAGTACCCCATCGTACAACCCTGAAACAAGTCGACTCGGCTCGCACTCACTCCAGCAGGATTTGCTATGACCTCCCTGTGGGGCCCTCACACCCGTACTCTCGCGCCGTGACATCCGCTTTCATATTGGATCGCTATTATACAAGTCTGCTCGACTGATCTGCTCTGTTCTCAATGTGACACGACGAGCACGAACCGCATTGTTTGACAGGCGTTCAGTTCCTATTGTGTTTTGCTGCGCGCCAGGGGAAAGTTTTTCATACTCAGTGAACTGTGAACAACTGCGTAAACGCTGTTTTTTAGAGGCACGATCGCTTTCATTTGCCGCGTTTGACCTCTAATTTTGCCCAAGGAGCTATTTGCCTGCCCCGCTTCCATTGCTGGCAACCTCCGAAACACCATTGCTCCACTAAATTGGCTTGGACATCACAATGATGGTGGCGGTGATAAGCATGGAAACTCTCATGGAAGAGACTGAAGAGGAACTTGCGGTAGGGCTTTGTCTCGATTAGGTAGCCTAATCAAATGTTCGCTTATTGAATAGCAATACAATGCGCTGTATACGGCATCAGACGTTTGCTGTCCACCGGTGACGTGTCGTTTTGCTATATTACGGTCGTTAGTAATAAAGTATGAGTTCATTTGTTGTCGATAGGTTTTAATTCGGACAATGCATGAGTGAGTGTAAAAAATGACTCTGTTCCATGTCTCTTTTAGAAATACAACCTTCGCTAGGTTCATGGTAGCCTCTTGTGTGTACATAAGTTGTGATGGAAGTAACTTAGTGCCGGTTACCTCTAATCATTGTCTCTCGTCGTTCCCGTGCTGAAGGATTCACCGTGTATTCCGACGAGCGTCTGTTCAGACCTGTTCAGACATTCAGAGAAGGCATTAATTTCCGCCAATCTAAAACGAGATCTCATATACCTGATAAGTAGCAGGGTGTCAGAAAACTGTAGACTAAAGGGTTTTTTGGCAGAACGATAAAGGCTTAAAGCATGCTTCGAGAGAGGTGACTATAACTCGGTTGACCAGGCGTTTCTCCAAGCTTTGATAGCCTGGGACATAAACGTATAGAATGAAGAAGGCCTTAATGGACGTGCTATATAATTAATTCGATATCTATTTACGAAAATACAATTTTGGATTAAAAAAAATAGTATATACATAGTGTAAAGGTACTGTCGTTTAGACCAATAATAATAATGGTAATGTAGAATGAAGCCAACAGACGCTGCATGCAGGTATTGAAAATAAGCGCTGTTAGAGGCGCGATCAGGACGCCAGAGATTTGTGTTCCTGCGCCTTCCATACGCACCGTCCTTAACACAGAAGGCCTTATATAAGTGGCGAATTCTCCAGGTACGAACGGTTCCGTTTGTATGTAAGATAGCATTGTTTTGCAAAAAAACATTGTGGATGCTTTCTATAACGCACATAATAATAGTCCCTCACTTAAGTACAGCAAACTAAGAGACCTGTGATAAGCACACACTTTACTCTCCATAGCAGTAGCGTCAAATACAACCCGTTTCTTTTTTTAATTAATGTTCTATTAACGTTTATTCTCTAGACACGAACGTTTACTCTGTCGTAACCGTACGCTTTCATGTTTCAGCTCGAAATGTTGGATGTCAGTACTTCAGATTAGTACGGATAGTCGGATTGGTATATCTCTATAGATATTTTCTGCCCTTCCTAAAACCAAATAAAGGGCATTCATCAGTCCTGCCTGTGTTCGATGTTCATTGTGTGACCAAGAAGACGTTGTTACGTCGTCACGTTTAGTAACCATAGTAACCCACGTTAACCATAGTTGCAGTGCTGCAAAAAAGTAACTCTAAGATAAATTTCAGCAAGCTCGAGAAGACCTGGAATGTCGAATAAGAGTTATAATTTTCTTTTACTATAGGCGATAAAATATGAGCGATTGCCAATTGTAAGCTAGACGCTTATCTATCCGATTCACCATTGTCAAAATATTGAATACCTACTACGCTCACGTACCTAAAGGAAGTCAAAAGAAATGATGTTTGATAAGGACAAATAAAACTTAATTACTAAACGCTATAGAAACTCAATCGTAAACGAATTAAAATGAGACCGTAAACTTAATTTATTAGTGATCATCTGAACCTTATGTACCTTTACAAGGTAAACTGCGCCTGTAACGCTAGGCAGTGCAATTTTCTAACTTTGCTCAGTAATTGCCGATCAACTTCAATAGCTAATAGCCGTGATGATGCCGTATCGGCAGACCATGGCATACCTGGCCATCAAGGTCCTTTGGCCTGGCCTGGGTGTGTCACGTCGCCAGGCAACATTCTGTCACCGTTGGATAGAGGCTAAAGTTCGATCTGGTTAGAAGGCAGCGTGCACTGCGGGGTAGCAATGTCGTTTGCCCACTTCATGGGCATGTAAGTGTCAATGTTGAATTCAGTTAGCATCGAGTAGTTACCATAATGAATAAAATGATGAAAAAAAGAAGAAAAGGTAATAAATGAAGAATGAACGGACGCGTTACGTTTGTCAGACCAACGGGTGTGTCAAAAACGACTTCTTCAGTATCCTTATGTACAGCGGAAAACAGATGTTGCTCTTGTAAAATGATGAACTTCAATGGATACAGAAAAATGTGTTCAGGAGATAAACAAATCATTGGTTAATTTCATCAATATAAGTCATTGCGCACTTGATTAATATTTTGCATTTCAGGCTGAGCAGTTCGTGCCGTCGTCACAGTCTCCAGGTAAAGTAAAAATTTAAAAAAAAAAAACATTCATAGTTTATTTGTTCATTTTTATGTGGATGGTGCATTGACCTCGAGGGTGCATCTGCATATTAAAGTGAATGATAATAATTAAACGCTTGTCAGAAACATCTCAGTATCGCTACTGGGAACGTAGTCCGTACCTTCGGCAGGTTTTTTGTTATAATTCCGCGTTATTCCCCGGCAAGACCTATATGCGTATGCAAAAATCACAAAATTTAAATATGCACCCTATTATATATAGTAAAAAAGGTACCGATTATATCGATGCCATGAGGACAGCGTGTTAATGATACGCTGATGGTCTTGTGATATCGGAACACAGACTGATTTTGAATTTTGACAAACACAGAGGTTGCCTAAATAGTCATAACCGTACGTTTTCCGAACCAAATGATTAAAAGTCTACCTGTTATTGTGTTTATACGGAAAATTTCTTTGTCAATACCGGTCATTCTTTCATTACAAGCGGCAGGGAAGAATTTCCGTAGGCTCTAGGGTCAAGTGTTTCCCAGAAAGACCAAATAGCAACCGGTAGCTTACTATTTGGCTGTTGCAGTGAACAAAGTATACTTCAGTGTCTTCCTGCTAGGGAACACGAATGGAAGTAAAAAGCTATCTGTTTTATAAGAGATATTAAAACTAAAAATAATAATTATGATAATTACTCTGAGGTGCAGTTGATTTGTTGAAATGGATTTGTGAGTGTTTATTTCTGTATATTGACAAATCGAAGTGCCTTTACCAAAATAAACAGGATACAATTTTTTTAAGGTTCGCCAAGTCTTCGGCTATATGCTGAGTGTCTATGTTCATTAAAATCGAAACAAGTCCTGTTGGTATGATTGGCCGAGAGCTCTTCATAAAGACCGCTCTAAGTAAGTTTATTAGAGGGATACACAACTTTCGATTTTTCTGTAACAGATAATCCATCCGATAGCAGTAAGAAACTTCTGTGTATACAGTTGTCTGTCCTATTCGATTCCATGTTTTTTTGCAACCTCGTTAGGCGATGCGGACGGATATGAAGCCCGGTTAGCAGCGGCACTCGAAGAGTGGGAGTCTGTCGGCGTTAAGGAAATCGAGATCAGCACTTATGAAGATCGTTCACCTCTGTCTATTGTACACTGCTCGCGGATACTCACGTACGAAGAGGCGGCGGATATCATCATAGATGCGGTCAACATAAGTGACTACCGGGTACGAAACGACCGAAATACGTTGACTTTGTTGAACCGGCCAATTAAGGACAAAGATCATTCCTTGTTAGGGTGGGTTCTGATAATGTGACATGCCTAAAATGCAGGATGTCTAGAAGAATGACGCATCGTTAAACGTTTGCCCCATTGATATATATATATATATATATATATATACATCAATGGGGCAAAAAATTATCTTGACAATTGGAAAGAAGCTGAAATATAGTGTGTATATATATTTTTTTGGACTGCTAAAAATTATTGTTTTTTTCCCGTTAGATGGCTTTAAAATCACGTATCTCAGATAATATGGCTCGCGCCGCACCGGCGTTAGTGTCATTTGAAAGCTGAGATTTGGTGCTAAAATTTTCTAATAAATATATCCAAAATAAAGAGAGAGCGCCTTGAAGATGAGTGAAATCCTGCAAAATTCACTATGTCTAAGAATATATCTACGATATAATCACAAATGTTGTTAAGGCCCTTAGAAAATGGTGGTATTTTTGGTCAAAATGCATTATCGAAGGAAATGGCCTAAAAATAGCTTTGTCGCTTTCGTTCTGGAGATTTCGTTGGCGAAGGTACTTCTCGTAGTGGTCGACTAATCGCGAGAAAAGTAAGTTGTGAATGTTCAACAAGATCGAAATGGGGATGGCAATAATCTCGTAATAGAGTTGGCATCTTTTACAAAACAGTTTTAGGCTACTGAAATAATTAAGCTCGCTACAAAAATGCTCTATATTTGAATGCCAGATGAATTTATGCAAAGGAATTACCTAGGCCTATTTTCCTTTGCGAACCTGATCAATGAAACGTAATCGAGCTATTTCCAAATTGGTTGATGAAGACTGGATCATATGCGACCATAATAAGCGAGCAATCTGTGGCGGGCTGACTCCAAGGAAGATAACGATGCTGTATGTTTGATGATACCAACGGAGAAAGCATTTGTTGCAATTGCAGAAGGCCCACAATTATGGGATTACAGCATTATCAGATAAAGGGCTGAAGGTCGTTCAGCAAAACGGAGCGCATTTAGTTTGATAATATTATTTTAAAATATAAAAGTAATTTGCTTTATTTATGGCCTAAAAACGGCCACTACTTTTTCGATAACCTTTAGAAACTGAAGTGTCTAGACAATAGCGAAGCCTTTATTTCACGTTTTCACATGCAAAGGTAATCAACCACGAAAAATGCACAGACCCTTCTTTCGAAGGAGGTCAAATTTGGAGTTGTTGGTAAGTTGGATAAATGCTAGTTAATTGCGTTTTCAACGTATACCACTGTTATATCATATTCTATCATATGACAGAAACATAAGACTGTAGAATTATGGAGTTAGAATGGTTTGATGCCAATATGTTAAATTTGTTCTTTATCGCAATAACCCTCATATACCCTGCTACTTTTATAGGGATCTAATGAAATCACCTTAACTGCCACGAACTTCCCTACCGTGCGCACATATACATATTTCTATATTTCTAATTGCTTGGAACACAAGCCCCCGACCTTAACCTTTTGTATACATTGGACCGATATGACTACGTCATTTTGTTTTCCTTTTTTGAAGGCAAGTCTTGCAGCAAATCGTCTGGTACGGTGTAATCCTCTTGTTTCGACTGCGGCTGGCATAGTCGATGCATCTCAAGATGGCGTGGTACAAATTTTTTGAAGCTTTGATGACGTTCCTAAAATCCTATTCGAAAACGCCTCAGCTTGTACCTTTAGTTCATTGGTATATCGCGCATGGTACATCGCGATTCTTATCCAGGCTAGAACTTGTCCGGATAAGCAATTCGGATGTCCTAGTTTTCTAAAATCATGTTCCGCCTACACGTTGAGACCATTAAGGAAAGTTGTATTTGAAGTACGGCATTCTGTGTGTACGGGTCCTCCTCTTTTTCGAATTCAAGAGATTCAAGAGATCAACATCTGTCCCTGCTTTTTTCGTTAGGAAGAACTCGATGAGCGCATTTGTTATCATCAAATGTAAAAAAGTTCTGTCAAAAAAGTAAAAATATGTCACGAATCGAAATCAAATTATTGTGCCTTAGTCTCTTGTACTTTCCGTCTACAGGTGTCGGCAAACCTCTCGACTAGGCCATTTGGTGCTGTCCTGGCGTAAATAGTTGTTAAGGACTTGACGAAACCTATGGCCTATGTACGTTTTACCAAAATGTGTAAACGTATGTTGTAATGTGCTAATGACTGTAGCAAAACTTGGAGTGTATATTTCAGGTCATCTGGAATATGCGTCGACAGCAATGAAACACATTTTGCATTTTAAGGTATCAGCAAAATCAAGATGACCTGTTTGAAAGGTTGTGTGGCCTTCGGCCATTATTAAATGGGTCTTCTTGTCGGATTTGTAGGTTGACTGGTACAATGCGGACACTGTCGGACCACATTTTCGATGTCGTTATTGATCTTGCGGCATATTTTATTTCGATGCTTCTTAAATTACTAGCGTGTACTTCTCTGAATTAAATTGGTAAATAAATAGAAGGCGTCCATTCCTAATAAATAGACAGAATAACGGACTATTAGTTGACGACGTTTTTAGCCATTAATTCGTTCTCAAACAATTGATCGCATTTGTTGAATCATATGGTTGGATTATAGCGCACATATTATAACGTCATCGGTAGACAATTACGGATTTCAGGAAGTAAGTTACTAGGTTCTTTTCAACCTGGACCATAACTCTACCTTTGGGTTCTTTACGAATCTCTTGGTTAATCACCGAAAGAAGTCGTAATGGGGCGTCAACACTGCCAGACTCATGACTCCTTTTATATTGTATTTTAAAGTGACTTTCTATTAGAAGCGTTGCCCACTGTTGACATTTATTAGTCGTATAAACAGCAATTTCCTTTTTACTCCCGAATATAGTTGGCAGTGGCTTATAGTCGGAAAGTCATTGAATGTACTGGGTTTCTTTTTCTATTTTAGCGTTGTTTTTTTTCTAATCTACTTAAATACGGGCTAATGTGCTGTATAATGTTTTTGTATTTTTCATTTTTATATCCCATTTGGGTATAGATTCAATGTTACATCCCACGTATGTTAGTTGGCATTAGCTACCTTAGGATTGGTAGTGAGGGATCGTAATGATCGTAACTAGCAGATCTGATTATAATATTCTTTTCAGCCTTGTTTAGGATTCCTGGCAGTCTCCTGACTGATTGATACTTTGTATCCTCCTGGAAGAGTTTATCAAGGGGTCCACGGATTTTCGTCACTTACTGAATACTGTGTGGTTCTGACACGTTTCCAGGCAAGGGCAGCTTCAGTCTTCCTTAGATTTGATTTATGACTGTCTGGCATAATAATAAAGCCTAATTAATAGATTAACGTCTCAAGGAGCTTGCTTTTTTCAAGCCGGACATTGAAACGAACGTTTTTTAATTCGCTGAAATAGTTCACCAAAGCTTCTATTATCCGATGTGGGGGTACATCTAAGTAGGCTGACTGATACACCAGTTGATCCACTGACATTTGTGTATGTTACTTCCTTGAAGACAGCGGGGGTTACCTTTGTTTCAAGCAGAAGTCAGCAGCTTCCTCAATCCGTCATCAATTTTCGTCTGTGAATATGCTTACGCAAAATCTGTTTTTGAAAAGTATATTTCAACATTGAGCGAAGTAAAGTTGTCATCTAGGGTTAGTAGTGGGTAGTGCTTTTCTGAATCATTTAGACCGATAGAAAAATCTGCGTATAACTTAATGTCGCCTGTTTGGTTTCTCCAAATTACTACCATTGGAGCAACATATTTTTTATGTAATCGTTAAAGTTCCTTCTCTAGTTTAAGGATAATATGGTATCCTTGATATACGTGATAAACTTTGATATACTTGATGATACACTCCGTGAATTTTATCTTGCTTTGGATACGAATCTTTACTTTAGTGAATTTGCCCAATTAGGAGGCGAAAATTTGCGGGCATATCTGTTTCAAGTTATTTATCATTTTTGTCAAGATATATGGCATATTCTCAACTTCCACTACCTCCACCGTTTCATCTAAATTTTTGAATAGTCTCAGCTATAAGTCCTGTACTTTTTGCATTCAGCGATTTCTCACTATTAGTATATTGTGATCATTGACATAGCTGTTCGAAGGTGTTCGCCTCATGGTTCAAAATTTGTAAAAAAAAGTGTCCCAAGCAATTAAATTTCTGCGTATGAACTGCATTTACTAAATGATGACAAGGTATCAATGGAAGCTTTTTTGTGGTGTTACGTCGACGTCTCTTTATTACAGTAATATCAGACGCGGTTTCTTATCTTATTGATTCTTTTCTTCGGACTCTAGTGTGATAGAAGGTTTATAATGTTAAAGGATTAGGTATTTAAATTTGGTTTAATAAGGTTGGCCGCCGGGTTATAAAATACTTCAGACCTCCTGAAGTGGACTGTCCTACTCATACGTTTGAGCATGTTGGACCTATGCGTATTCCAGCGAAAACATCTGCTATTAGGTTTTGTTAAGTAATATATCTTTAATGGCCATCCTTATAATAGGGTTGGCATTTTGGTTAAGGAATGGGCATGCTTTATAGTGTAACGCACCGCATCCGCTATACGGAGTTTGGGATTTTTATTAAAATGTCTTAGTATTTCTGTCAAGTGCCTCTGGATCGAGATGGGATAGCTGTTGACCTAAAAAATCCAAATACTTTATAATTACCTATCCTACACCTTCGTACTCAACATTTATCAAACCACAGACCCACCTAAGAAAAATTCGAATTTAACAGAGCTTTTTCCTTTCTATCGTTGCTGATCCGTATGATGTCTGTTCCATGGTCTGTGTGATCAACATATTCTAGTTCTGAAAAAGTTAGATTGGAAGAGCTTAAAGGTTTTCAGCATCAATTATTACTATAGTATTTTGTAGTAGTAATTGGCAGTAGGATAATAACCAAATCTGTGTTAGCTATCTATCTCTGGTTAATATCTAGAATCAGATTTGGCATTGCTGATGTTTTGCCCTCTTTGACGGCCATTTTGGTAGCAGGTAAAATAATTTCTCAATTGGTCGAGGATTTCGAAATTGTCATCTATATTCATAGCGGTATATTCAAATTTCAGCATAGCATTCGATCTACAGTGCAACGGAAGGGTCTTAAAAAATTGTGGCATAAGTTATTTGGTCCCCCAAAAATCGCCGTTACGTTGATTGAGGAAAGGGACCTTATGTTCGCATTGGCACTGGTAAGCTGAGTTTAGATAAGATCTGTTTTCAGCAGATAGCGTAAGTTTAGCGGCATTAAAACGATTCAGTATAACATTAAAGCAATTGCTTGATTACCAATACCTTGATTTGGTTTGGAGAAGCCCTACAACGTGGCACAAAGGTATGACTCGACTTTTTAATAAATTTATCAGAAAAGACACAACATTTTTAACTTAATCACTGAAGTTTTAAAATTTCCTTTTAATTGTAAGGTACCATTCAACACGGAATGCCAAAGTCATGGTCAGATGGTGCAAACGATTTACCGGAAGTTGACAGGAAATACTTATGACTGCCCAAGATACGGGGCACACTGGGAAACCATTGGATTTCAGGGTGAGTCAGTCGAATAAAAACTGGCCAGGTCATTTTAAGGTCGTGGATAAAAGCGTTCCATTCAGAATACTAGCAGCGTTTTTTTGTGCTTTCCAATTATTACCAAACCGCATAAAATTAAATGAAATTTTGAAATTTATTAACGACACCTAGTTGACCTTGCTTAGATTTTTCATATTTATAGTAGCATCGGAACTTATTGAAACTTACGTTAGATAATAAATTGACGATAAAAGCTGTTATAGGATATGCGCAATGCTTGCAATATGGGGTGAGCGTCCTTTGAGTTAAAAAGGACACAAAGTTATGTAGCAGCGCACAGTATTGACTGAAGGGGCGTTTCATTGAACGAATTAATGATCATTTTATCCAAGTATTATTTTGCTAAGCGAATTGTTCTGAAAAGATTTTGTGTCTGTCGATGTATTTATGTTAGGTAACGATCCCGCGACAGATCTTAGGGGATGCGGAATTTTAGGACTTTTGCAACTTCTTTATTTAGCCACCCATCAGGACAATGAGACCGTAACTAAAGATATCTATCGGATATCTCTTCACGCAACCCAGGTAGTTAAGTGTTTTCTTCTACGAATAAGTTATTTTTAATGTGGTTAAATACGAATCATAGCCAGTCCGTTGTTGAAACCCACGACTCGCAGTTTGGGGAACGACAGCTGAGGAAATTCAAGAATCATATTGATGGACTCACTCGCTCAAGTAGTACTTGATAGGTTTAGGCAAGAATACGTTTTTAAAGCGTGCAGACTATAATGGTTTTATCGTTATATTGATATTTAGTAATAAGGGAGGCGGTATATCAATGACAAATTCACACGGCGTCCGTTTCTCATAGTTGTCAAGTTGTTGTTTTTATTTATAAAAATAATGCCCTTGGCAGTGGCAACTAAAAAATCCTAAATGTATCAGCTGCATAATATAAAAAATGTGCTCTAATATCTATTAATGTATACTTCGTGATTTCTATTTTTCAGAACTTCCCTTTTGCGGTTATGGGCATAAATATGACCAAAATAGTGTTGGAATCTCTTCGAGAAGACTGTCTCAATAGGTTAGTACTTTATTTCAAATTCTAAGCAAACGTAATTCAATAGTTATTATTACAGTTAAGAAGCTCACTTATCAAAGAAGAAAAGGTGCGAAGCTTTTAATGAACTCTGTTGGTTATACTAGCCTCATCGATGATTCTGCCCTGGTATCGATTGCAGAATTTGTAACGAGAGGCAAGGCGTTCTGCCAGTACTGAATGACTTCTACGTCGGCACGTATCTTATCATGTTCCTATCGTGGACGAAACACGCTGCGACCGTATACGACACGGGATACATCATGCAAGGTCTGTGCTCATAATCTCAGGCGAAGTCTCAACAAACAATATCAATAGATGTTACTGTTCGATACTTCCTAGATTCGAAGTCGTTCTCATATCCTTAAATAAACCACTTTAAAATCGCATATATCGTAACCGAGCCACCAGTCATCTCCTATTGCGATGTTAGAGTACTGAATGATACTCTGACCTACTCAGCGTAAATGATATTTAACGTAAATGCTGTCTTGATTCGAAATAGGTAATCAAAATGTAATACTTACCCACTAAGGCAATAAACATGAAACAAAAACAAACAATTATTTATTCAAGCCTACAATCTGCAAAGTATCTCATTTGTAAACTCGTAATATTTTTCGAAGTATTGTGTGCACGTATGTATATTGACTACTTTTCTTTTTCGGTGATCAACAGAAGTGGCAAAATTCGCAAAAGGGTCACCACTCAAGGTACTGCACAATTTACAGCATTATCGAAACAATGGGGTACATTCGCACTTCTGCGATGAGCATTTCACCAGCCTCGCCGCGTGAGCATCAGCCAAGCAGCTCTTGGACAGAGTGTGGACAGTTGAGAAGATACGTTAAAGCGTCGTTACGTCATATTTTGGGTCAGAGTCATGTTCGAACGAAGATTTTGAAAGCAGACTAGCTCATGATCGGGTAGGCATGACGTCGTAGAGTGATGTTGGGAGAGATAGGTAAAAGCTTGAGGACAACAAATTAGCGCAATATGGCGGGCAATTTGAAAAATAGCCGCGCTCATCGCGGAGGAAACGTACACATGTCAGAGTTCTATAGCTCGATAGCGTCTTTAATGTTGACTATGGTTATCGATACGTTTCGTAGAGAGCACGTTGGATATTAGTCATCTGAATGACCACTGCTTTGAGAGTAACTGAAGTATAAATATGCTGGTTCTGGGCACGATTTGTTATTACGCTGTGTTTTTTGAGTGATAGAAGAATTAACAGAGAAAATTTAATACAAATCTGCCGAAGACGTCCAGGCCAATCGTCTAACAAAATGTAACGGATTGTACTCATAACGAGAACAACATAATAAATGATCTTATTAACTGTTGATTGATACGCTCAAAACAAACAAATCCGTTATTAGGTAACTTTAGGCGAATTTACAATCGGCGCTTAATTGTTTTGAATAACACGGGCGGACCATGTTATGGTTGTAACACGCATCCACCTGATATCTTGTGATACATAACGAAAAAAAAAATGCTTAAGGAATCGTGTTTTTTTTTTTATTGGTGTTTTGTTTCGAATCGGTGAAACATTAACATGTGTTGCTTTTTGGTTTGTTTCAAAGTGTTTTTTCTCCCAGTTCAATAAATAGCGTTAAGTAAATCTAGTCTATAAAAAGCGCTGCGGATAATATGTTTATTTCAGCTTGCTGCGTTCGTGCGTTATCTGCCACTTACTACGAAATCTTTATTTATCTATTTTTACCTCGCATAGCGTGCCATGTGTACACCTTACGACGCGGCTCAGTCTACTTGTATTCACAGCTTTTCATAAGATATCGCGCATTACTGGCTAGCATTGAATCCAAAAGGCGAAGGCATACGCCGTAACGAGATTTCTTGGAAAGCAGTCGTTACAAATACCGAGAACTGTGTTTCGTTTTCGATTTCCTACGGTCAAGTGCATGAACAAGAAACCCATTGAGATTAGCCCAACAAATGGCAACACATTCCATCATTCTGTCGATTAAATTCAATGGGTTAAGGTGAATAGACATGTACCACACTTAATTATAGCACTGCACCAGATAGTTTTTGAAGAACAGTTTGCCCTTTTGAAGTACCATTAGAAACTAGGATGCTCTGACAGTATGATATTTATATACACATTGACGCTTATAATTATGAAAGCCTAACCTCATCACTACTGGATTACGAAAGGAACACCGTAAAAAGCCTTAGCGATTACGGTAATGTAATATTAGCTTCGGATATCTGTACGTAGAAGTTAATCGTGAGCCGCATGGCTCTGGAAACGGACAATGTATTGCAGCAAATTGGTTAGGATGTCGTCTGCAACTAAATATCTCAGACTTCTAGGACATAGTAATATTGGAGTCGGAGCTAAGGTCGAAAGGATAATCATCGCAATTAATAAAACCCGTAATAGTAGCTGTTGTATCTCGAAAGGCGAATTATTTCGAAAATGTGCACAGTCACCACCTCTAAGTTCAACGCTGTAGCCTGATCAGTTGGCCGTTCCTTGTAAGCAACACCTTAGTTCGGACAGCGCTTTACGCTGGATTGACCGCTAGCAAGAAATCACGATTAAAATATAACCTAAAAACCATTGATCTCGTATCTGACTAGAAAAATAATTGTATCAGAAACACTGCTTTGGTCAAAAGCTGCCCTACGGTAGGGACAAATTTTCATAGCTTGCTCAGTAATATACTTCAAACGTGATACAAACGCCTATAAACATTTGTTTATATTAGAGTGTTGACTCTATTTACGTTGTTGTCATTTATAGCGTTTTGTTCTACGCGTTACTCGCTCATATGGCTAAACGGTACTAATATGATTACTGTAATAATATAACTGGTAGGAACTTAAGTGTCGCATCGTTCAGTCGGAACATTCGATTGCGGCGTCATGCCCACGTGAATTATCGTTGTAGGCCAGCTTCGAGCCGTCTCGGTAATTTACTAGGGTTTTAGGAGGCCACGTCGGCAGCAATTTCTAGAATCACAGACCACAACCACATCCGTGGCTGGCAAATGTCCACAGCCATTAAGACGTACAATGGCAAATGCTGTCACAAGCAGGGCGGCAATAGACAGACAGGGTCATCAACATCGATAAAATGACGTCAACAACGGAGCGAGCTATAAAAGTAACCGGGAACGCCATCTAGGGGCACTCGAACGTATTGACTTTCTCCCATGGTGATCCCCAGTGACAACGGCACCAGCAGTAGGACAGAGTGAAACATAACAGATACACCTAGTTAAGGTTTCCGAAGTCTTGCTTGCGGCCTTCTTTCTGCTGGTTGATTGTATTATCTAGAACTGGGTACGGAACAGCTAAACAAGATTCGTTCAGTTTGTGATTCCGTTGACGTCAAGTAGACTGACTCGGTACGACGCTGAGGGAGTAAACTCTTTCTTATTTAAGAACAGAATAGACAAAAAAAAAAAAGCGACAGTGCCGCATTTAGCTAGAGGAATCAGACGTTCCTATTTCACAAGGTTGGAATTGTCTTTGTTGTAGAAGCTGTGCTGCCGTGATTGCGTAACGAGATAAACAAAAACCCGCTCCGTCTGACCCATCATGAAGGTCAGCACCGTGTTGCTCGCCGGACCAGTCGTCTTTTTGCTGTGCATACATCCAAGTACAGCTGGACCTATACTAGCAGGTACTAATAATTCGTCTTATGTGACGGTATACGTTCTACCATATATGATCAATGACGATCGTATCGTTACGCAAATGTCACCGCGGAGTTTGCTGCCGACTTTCTAGCCTTGGAAACCTCTCGTTTAGGTAGATCTGCTAGCTCGCAGTATATGCGTGGCTTATATTAGAATAGATTAGATCTGCTAGTATAACTAGCAAGGGTATTATCATCATCACCGCTCGATATCGTCGTGGCGACATCGTAACGTCATAGTCTCCAATCGTCGCTTGAGCGATCAATTGGCCATTTTCTTGTAAATAGAAATAGCAAAAAAATATTAGAACGCCCTAGCCGTTTTGAGCATTTACCTTCTTCATTTCAACATTTTACAAGAAAACTAATTAGGTTAAAATGGAAGATGTTGTTTGATGGAACTATACGGTCATTCTTTAGGTAGCTATTCTTGTTTCGCTTGTCCACTGACTATGTCACCGCACAAAACACTCGGGAACCCACTTTGTGATGACTCAAAAAACAAACGCTCTGCACTGGAAGCAGTTGTTTCGACAAGGATATTTCTATACTCATGCAAGTCGCAGTTGTTACCGATGCGGTGGTGGTAATTGAGTATGGTTATTTAATTTTTCAGGACGTGATCTGGCCGCGAAATGTATTTGTCCCCGAATTTTTTCACCGGTCTGCGCGGTTGATCGCACGGGCAGGCGGAGGTAATATACATCCTCTATATTTAAGCGTGTTCGAACAAATTTAATTTTTTCTACCTTCATTATTCAGCGTTAGTATTTGACTGCTCCATACCGGAGTCGTTTTTTGTCTGAGGCGGAAAAGCAGAACGCTACAATTTATTCTCAAAGTTGAGCCGATGCGCCGTTTTGTTGCTTCATAATCCCAAAAACCAATACTGAGAATGAAATTCTCGGCTTCTGAGCGATTTATTTTAGCCCGTACGTATTTCTGTAAGTGACGATTAATAAGGATCATTCGTACTAATATCGTGTTACGCGTACTGTGTACGTGCTGCAAGCACGGCTCGGCCAACAAATATTGGTATCATTCATCGGCCTAATGCTATTTCGATTGAAAGGCTTCTACAAAGAGAGTTCACGAACTTAATTAATAAGTTCTGCGCAGTCTATCCGCAAAGTTCAAGAGGTCAGCGCTAGTTATCGAACAAAGATGTCGGACAATTATTCCCCTCAACTATCTGCCGTCTTCTAGAGGTACGCGGAACTTGTCGATTGTTCAGTGTTTGTTCGAGGCCAGTATTGTTATAAGTGACTCATGCTTGTACTTGAATCGTTTCAGAAATACTGCTAATGAATGTACAGCAAAATGCGAAGGATATAAAGTGGTCAACGTGGGCCTCTGTTTGCCCGTGGAGTTCGGTGCTACGAAAGGGAAATAGCTTCCCCAATTGTACTTCTATGCTCAGTGTTCTAGTGAACGAGCCCACTTGGGTAATGTTTGATGTTTTAGGGGAAGGTGTTTTTTTACGGATATATTTGTCGTTCGAGACACATATGTGGGCTCGATCCTTTCAGCTTTAAGCCAACATATCTGTAGCTACTATGCGGTAAACTGCGACAATATTGAGATGCCTTGTTTACTTACGGCCGTCATTAGAAGGAAAAAACGGTGAACGAACAATGTCTTTTTATCTTATAATCTGACTCCATCGTTAGAGGACGCGTCCTGGAGCACTCAATGCAAGAAAATGAATATTCCATTATTGAAAATCACATCATGTTACTACAACGAGTGTCGTTTCTTCATATCTCAAGGTAATTAGCTCGGTATATGCCTAGCTATATATCACATTCAGTTGTAACACGTAAGATATAGTATTGAACAGCGTATATAAAACAACTCGATACGCTCTAACGTGTGAGGTAACACAACAGCTTGCGACGGAGAAAATATTTACTATTTTGCCTATATGTAAACTTTTACGCACTACTCCTGCCGTCGTCGCTTGCCAAGTATCTTCTAAAAAAAAATCTGACGAACACGTTTCACATCTGACCAAAGTGAATTTTGGCCAGTTGCTCTATGCGACTGTAATGTTTGTAATGCGTTCTGGGGATACATGAACTAGCCTCGCAAAAAACTGGGCAAAAAACTTCATTTCCTGCTGGGAAATGCCAGTCTGAAGTGGCTGACCGAAGCAACGTCTAGTGGTACTCGTAGAATTCGAAACATTTACTTAAGTTAAGGTATATAGCTAATCAGCAAGACCATGCAATGGGTTGCGAATAATGACACAGTGGCGTCTACTGAATACCCTTCAAGGACCCACGTTCCATCTTTCGAGGACTATATGAAGAATGACTGAAATGTTTGGCAAATTAACTGTATACAAAAAGCAGACCGAATTTTCGTACTTCTACACGTAGTCTGCGCCATTCTGCCTTTTCTACTGCAAAGCTCGCGTAGATGTAGTCTGCGTTTGAACAAGTATTTCCTTAGCCATGGCTCCCCTCCGCAGCGTCTCTATGGCAAGTTACGATATTTGTCGGAATCCATTTAGTAATGATTTATGCCGTACTGAGTGTTAGATTGTTATCCACTTAACGTCTAAACAGACGAACAAGACACAAGATGAATCACTCTAATGGTAGCTGATGTCTCTAGGCTTTAGTGACATTTGCCGTTTTCAAGTTGCATACAACGATCAATACTCGACCGAGTGTGGGAACATCGAAACTTTATACTTATTCAGCTTTTAACAAACATCACATAGTACTTAATGGAAAAATATTGTGTTTGTCCTGTAAGCATGAAGGCATATGATTCGGTAATATCACAATAAACTCTCGATACCCAAGTTAAATTTTGCAAAGATGTCCCGGAGTCAATTGCCTCAAGTTAACTCGAATGTAATGCAAGTACGAACCGGTGCTTGGCAATGAAGGCGCCGCATCAACAAAAGACGCACAGTTGGCTATAAACTGTTCGGTCGAGAAGACCAGGGCCCTCAAAAACTAAATCTTAATATTGCTTTCGAAAATAGATAGTTCCGCTAAAATGCTATTCTAAAGCATCTGACCAAAAAAAACGATATATTTTTTTTAAGTATTTCTAAAATTGTAATTAGTGTCATTAATCAAAATAAAACATTTTTACTCAACTAACTTGTTGTGGGAGCAAACAGAAGCTGACACGTCGCAAAATTCAGGGCATATCGTCAATGAGTTCAACTTTTCGTCGTCTTTAACTTCGATCTCTGCCTCTCTTTTCCTTAGTAACTAAACAAGTCCCTTTAACATGTTCTCCTCCGTCGAAATTACATATACGTATTTAGGCTGCTGCTATGCATTCGACAGGTAAATATCGAGGCCATGAGGGCTTTTTTGGGGTACCGATCTTCCCTTTAATTTACCAAAAGAAACTTGTAACTAACCTGTGACGTCTCAGCATTAGACAGCAAAAATATTAATGATTCTGTTACGCTTCTTGACAGCAATACGCTTAGACCTCCTATTACAAATGTAGGATAATTCGGTTATGGTGTTCTGAAGGCAACAAACGACCTGAATGACTAAAAAAAAAAAAACGAAATAGATTGTCACTTTCTCGGGCGCTATAAATAGGTAGCGGTGGGTAAAAATATAGCAGAGAATATATTAGGTAAGAAGCTATACGTTGACGAAATGGACGATTTGCGCATGATTTATGACTGAATAACAATAACGGTATACTAAACAAAACTACATACGAGTTTACTACGACAGCAATTAGGCCGGTGAAAAAATTAAGCCAGGGTCATGGATCGGCTCACCTGGCAGGTCACCCTGTCGCTATGACTTCGTAGTTCGACATGGGCAAAATATCTTAAGACATTGGTGACACCTGCACAACTCTCAAGCATTGCCGAGTCCATTATCATATTTGGGGCTCCAGTTTGGTTTTGACCGGCGTCAACAGCAGCAAGGATCACAGCGTTACTGCGAAACAACCCAGCGTAACATTTTAATCCGTATCATTTAAGCGTGCAAAACTCTACATGTTCCCGTGATCCAGCAGGAACGATCCTTTCAAGGTTGGCAAACAACGAAGGCCGTACTAACAGTTTAAACGAATCGAAAAGTGCGATTATGGCGACCTGGCAGACACAGTGTTGGGAAATATCGCGCTCATAAATCAAAAATCGTTGACAGGCTTACGTAAAATTGATATACTACATAACCCAGCATTCTGTCGAGCAGCAAATATCCTAGTAGGACCTGAAAGGTTGAACTTAATGGTCAGCCGGGACACTGCCACATAGACAAGCGTATAGGAAAATGCTAATAGGGCATTGCACGGGCAACTAGCTCTTGGTAAGGCAAGGAACCCGACAACAGAATGGACCAGAATGCGACTAATCAACTCAAATATCGCCTAGCCGTTTGGTTTGGTTTGAAGTAAAATTAAAATCAGTAAAAAGCTAAAGTTTTGGGAGCTTCCAAGTGTCCCACATCAGAAACGTACAGGTCTATATGAATGGTTTAGCAACAAAATGTAATCCTTATCCTAACCTATTTAGATAAAGCACTCGAACAGGAATATAGCCTCTATTATTGTTAAGCTTAACGCTCTAGGCGTCTTTTAATCCTCATCCATTCGCCATCCGTCGCGATCTAGAATACGTTAAGAACGTTTGTTGAAGCGATGGTTTATCCCGTTCAAAAACGTAAAGGAAGTAAATCAAGTACGAGTTTATTGCGATAAATTGACATGAACGTTATAGTGTCAGAGGAGAAATTTGTCATCCATGTCTGGTGAAGCTTGTCGACCAAACAATTATCCAGTTCTTTAATCGCAGATCCAATTGTTACCCCATGAGGTATTTTATAAGTCCATTGTTTTTGATCTTCTGCAAGGCAAATTCTGCTGCGTACGTGGTCTCCTCGAAATACTCAGGTAACGCGTCGTTCATCGATTTTCTTAAACAGAGAGCCATAGGTTGTAGTAGATCACCAATGGCTGCTTTTTGATAGCAGCTTTTGCTCCCGTTGACAGCACTAGGACAACAATCAATTGCTGATACGGAAAAATCAGTAGCATAAATATGCAAGCTATTTAAGAGCATCTGGTAAATGACTGACGCATTGCGTTGGATTTCTAGTGGGAGATGACCGTTTCGGTCACTAACGAGCTCGTATCCGAGGCGTAAGATGACGCAAAACTTATGCATCATTTTCGGATAGCAGTCAAGCATGTAACTGCCGAACGGAAGCCGTGCCGAATTTATGACCTTAAACCCGCATGCCGATAGACTTTTAGTAACTACCCTAGCTGTCTGTATTTTGGCGGCCCTCGTTACTTTGTTCACTGGTCTACATGGCTGAAAAGGAGTTACATCTCTAGTCAATACTGGTGGCTTGGTAGTTGTATAGGTAGAGTTCAGGACAGTTTGGTGACTATTGATTTCACGCGACGTAACAGCAGCATAGTCCAGGGCTGATGGTTTAATCATTGAAATCCAAATGTTAAACACAATAATTTTACTAGGTAGATCTACGAGGTCCAGGCTTCCTAGCATGACTGCAAAGGGAGTGAATTACAAGCAAGTACTCGAAGATTTTGGTAAAATTTGGTAAGTAAGTTCCCGATTCGATATTGCGATCAAAGACTATGAGGGGTAAATAAATTGAATTGAAGTGCCAGTTACTATCACACTTGTCAGCTTGTCACTAATAGTATCCTCATAATGGGCTATGAGAGTTAAGTCACTGATTGGTCTTCATCATCGTTCGCCGACGAGGTTGTGCCGATAGAAGCCGAGATCAGAAACTTGTCTACAGCAAACGCTCTAACAACTCGATGAAATGGCACTTCCAGAGGACATCGCTATCTGCAACTGAAATTGAATATGAAAAAGTACAGGGTTTTGTACTTTCTATTTATTCTGTTGACATTGTTTGAACTGCTTCGTTTCTACTGCAGCCGCCTGGCAAGCGTACCCAGCTATGTTCGACAAACAGAGGTTCTTGATCTCTGCTCATAATGTTCATTGTGCCTTACTTATCGCAGGCATCGCTTAACTTATCGTCAATAACATTTTCACAACAACTGAAACACATGCTGTGCAGGCCATAGCACCGGCCAATGTAGGATTGTTCTTCACTAGGCACTCGACTAAATTTCACCACCTTAAATTCGTAGTTGACCAATTTCCGAGACCTTCGATTGCTTCAAACTTGATAGTCCTCAAACGGGCCAATGATCACTGCGCGTCACGATAAACATACTGCATTCTGGTTCTATATCCAAGCACTGGTTAGGTGCCCAAATACTTCGTAGCTTTGATCTGTCATTTTAGACATTCATTCTTGTCATGTTTTAGGCCAGCTTTAAAGTTTTCCTGATATTACTATGGCCTAAGATAAATAACTGGATTGTCAGTGTAACGCGCCTATGGAACTTTACTGCTGTAATATCAGAGCTATGGTAACGGCACCATAGAGGTATACTAAAGGTAATCGCTTATTCTTAAGGTATCTATTGAATTTTCACGTTTTCATTCAAAATGCATGACGCTCTTCAGAGTTTCAGTCAAGGCCTTATAAGAGGATATTGGCATTAGCATTATACATTTCGCCTATCAGAATCGTCGTCCTTGTTTAGTGTGAACATCCAGGTAATTTACCTTTTGCTGTCCATGACAAACGGCCATCGAAGCTGGCTATCAGAAAACAAAGAGTCGAGAAGAGAACTGGTCAGCAGCTACGGGTAGGACGTGCCGAAGATGAGCAAGTGCTCAAATGTGAATGGAATTCATACCAGTCATCCAAATAGGACGTTCCAAGTAGGACCTGTGGAAAGTTCGAAAAGCGCACACAGAGTGCCTGTTCGCATTGTTTGCATAACCGACGATCGTCGTTCAGCAAATCTAAAATAGAATAGATGAACGAAGCACAGAAAACACAAATATTTCCGCGTCTCGCGAGTTAAGCATAGGGGTACTGACTAAAACGGAGGCGGATTTATAGACGTCGACAATTACCAGTCTATGTTTAAGCAGCAGCAGTCGATGTTGATCACCTGCCAATGATATGCCTATGTGGGCCGGGTTTCCTTAAGCTATTTAAGAACCCACATCACAATGGTCGATTTTCTAAATATGATTGCTATCAATTTTTTTGACCCCTCAACGATTGTTGAATTTTTCTCGTCAGTTTTTTAAAAAGCTGAAACCTTTCAGGGTCGATACCTTCGCAATAACTACTAATACCTAAGACATAGCAAGAGTCAATTTTGAACGTGTGTAGAGCATGAGCTGTAATGTTGAATTAACCTAACATGGCCACGAGCTGAAGCGCAGCTGAGATTATTTGGAAGGACTTTTTAACTTCAACTAATATTTCCGGAGATGGAACAAAAAGCGTTGTTATATATTTACCTAGTTTTAGGTAGCACGAAGGCGGCCTACCTAAACATGCCTGCAATAAAGTCTCGATCATTTACTATTGGGCGTACTGGTTGAAAGACTAGATTTAGAATTGTTGTAGGATTGGCATAATTGAGTTGTGCGTTTCTAGCAGACTAGAGAGTTGGCATAGACAGCAGATGCGTAGGTTGTTGCCAGTTATCAAACGAGCAGTTTAAAATTGCTTTGAAAAAAATAAATAAAAAAAAACGACTGAAAAAATTTCAAGAGCAGTTATGGTCCGCAACTGATGAAGATGCAGCGACTTCTACGATGTTGATAACTGCATTTATTGACGGAGGATCGCTTTCTTGTCTTAAGGAAGCGGATAGCATTATCGTTACATCAGTACAAAATAAGTCGGGTACGTTTGCATGTCGAACAAAGACACTTCGACCTAGGAAAAAAGACCTAAGAAAATTCGAAATGGCGACGGAAGCTAAACAAAATCTAGAAGGAAACTGCTGAGCAAACTGAAAGTTTTGAATTCTGGAAAGGAGACGAAATAGCATCTTGAAGAGCACTAATGATCCTGGTCGGCGACGGCTTCTTTTCTTGATGATGCATATTCATGTGGCCTGCTGAGAAATCCCAAGTATAGGTGCTCGCTTTTGT